CTTTATAAACACTGTTTACAGTTACATCCCTACAGCTTCAACAGCAGGGAGACGTTCTGGCTTCCTGACACACCTTAATAATAATTATAATAAGTACACTGAACTTGTTTGATAACAAAAATGAGTCAAATCTGTCACTCTAATCATAAACAAACTGAATCTCTGAGAGAAGTGGACACATTCACTGTACCTCAGAATAATTTCTATAATCATAACAGCTACAACAATTCTACTACTACTTATATGTATATATAAGTAGTATATATATATATATATATATATATATATATATATATATATATATATATATATATATTTGGGCACCCCTGATGAAATTTCATGTAGGGGGTGGTCATGGGCTGGATGTTAGGGAACCAGCCCTGAGCCGACAGTACATGACTGAAGTGCCCTTGAGCAAGGCACCTAACCCCCAACTGCTCCCTGGGCGCTGTGGATAGGGCTGCCCACCCCTTCGGGCAAGTGTGCTCACTGCCCCAAAGCGTGTGCGTTCACTAGTGTGTATGTGGTGTTTCACTGCACTGATGGGTCAAATGCAGAGGTGAAACTTCCCCGTTGTGGGACTAATAAGGGTCACTTAATCTTAATGTTGTTTGTTGATTTGTAAATAAGTTTGTAAATTGTTTGAGTGTAAATAAGTTACACATCCTCTACAGAGACACACTTCTGCACATTTTAATAAACAATTACTGTTTATTTACTGAATTTAACACACTGGGCAAAAAATATAGCATTAAATTATTTTATAGATTGTGTTTAATTTCTTTTCCAGTACGTTAAACAGAATTTGTGCTCTAAAATGAGCAGAAAAAGCCATATTTAAGTGTGTCTCTGTAGAGGATGTGTTAACTTATTCACACTCAGAAAATCAACACAACAAGGTATTACCAGTGCTGCTAGCAGGTTAAACTGCCCTCAGCTACTCTTCTCACAGACCAATGGCAAAAGTAATACAACCCCAATTCCAAAAAAGTTGGGACGCTGTGTAAAATGTAAGTAAATGTAAATAAACAGAAAGCAATGATTTGCGAATCTCATAGACCCATATTTTATTCACAATAGAACATAGAGCACATATCAGATGTTGAAAGTGAGACCTTTTTTCCATTTCATGAAAAACATTAACTCATTTATTTAGAATTTAATGGCAGCAACGCCTCTCTAAAAAGTCGGGACAGGGCCGTGACTACCATTGTGTAGCATCCCCTCTTCTTTAACAACAGTCTGTAAACATCTGGGAAGTGAGGAGACCAATCGCTGGAGTTTTGGGAGAGGAATGTTGTCCCATTCTTGTCTGATGTAGGATTCTAGCTGCTCAACAGTTCTGGGTCTCCTTTGCCGGATTTTTCATGATGCGCCAGATGTTTGGCTGGACTCTTCTTCAGTGAAGCCGTGCTGTTGTGATGGATGCAGTGTGTGGTTTAGCATTGTCTTGCTGAAATATGCAAGGCCTTCCCTGAAAGAGACGCTGGGAGCATATGTTGTTCCAAAACCTCTGTATACTGTTTGGCATTGATAGAGCCTTTCCAGATGTGTAAGCTGCCCACGCCATAGGCAGTAATGCAACCCCAGACCATCAGAGATGCAGGCTTTTGAACTGTGCGCTGATAACAAGCTGGATGGTCCCTCTCCTCTTGCATCTGCAGGACACGTCGTCCATGGTTTCCAAAAAGAATTTTAAATTTTGATTCATCTGACCACAGAACAGTTTTCCATTTTTTCTTAGTCCATTTTAAATGAGCTTTGGCCCAGAGAAGATGGCGGTGTTTCTGGATCGTGTTGACATATGGCTTCTTCTTTGCATGATACAGCTTTAACTTGCATTTGTGGATTGCACAGCAAACTGTGTTCACAGACAGTGATGATCTGGAAGTGTTGCTTCTGTAAGAGTGAACTCAGTTTATGTTTATTAATTGTTAGTATTATGGAGTTAGGAAAATGTTCCTTGTAAATCGATCATTCTATTGCATTAGTTCAAACTGCACTCCTACAGTAAAAAACATTTAGAAAACAATGAAGTATTCAGAGCTTAGATATTTACAAGGATTATGTTCTGATCCATTAAGGCCAAAGTATTAATAGAGATAGTAATAAATTAAGTACATACAAAATCCTCTTTTATAGGGTTCTTTCGGTTGGGAGGTGCCTGTTCCAAACCCTAACCCCTATATTTACACTGAAAATAATACTAATATACATTTTTTTATATTGTTTTTTAAATATATTTTTGATTTCTTTTAAAATGACATTGAAAGATTTAGATGTGTGATGAGTATAATTTTCAAATTTAAAAATGCTGCCCCACGTTTTCATGTCATTACTGAAACCAAGTTTTATGGTGTGGGCGTGGCCTTATTTTAGCCACGCCCCTGAATTTTAGAGCAGGAAGTGAGGCTGCATCCCTGCCCCTCATGGCCACTTGGTGAAAAAAAAAAATAAGTAAATAAACTAATGTATAAACAAGTAACTGGGTGGAAGTGTGGAACTGTCAGTATTTGGAGAAGTTCAGTACTTTTTAGTGTTTTAATGTAAAATATGATGATTTTCTGTGTGAACAGCTGTTCTAAGCTGTTTGCTGGTCATGTTCTGGCTGTGTTTTGAGCTCAAAATGAGCTAAAACAGTCACCACTGAAACGTTTGGTAGAGTGTTATGACTGTTATGACTTGGTAGTGACAACACTGAATGTTCAGTCATTAGTTTTAATAAAATAAACACAATTAAGCTATAGGGTCACAGGTAAAGGATTTTACTTACGCCACTAGATTAGGCCACTACTTCCTTACATAGGATCACTCATATTAAAAAAACATCTTCACCTTACAGAACTGGAGTCACACTTCAAGCAGAACGGCTCCTGTTGTGTAACATGATGTTTGAGGTCGCAGTGTTTAAGGTTCTTCAGCTTGGGTGTACACATTCTTTACCTCTGACTGTTTTGGATCAGGTAAGATTAATGAAACAGGTGAACCGCTCAGCGCTCATTAAAAAAACAGGCCTTGGCTCGTAGGATTCGCGCTGACCCAGGAGGACGTGTCGACAGAAAAACTGTGAAAAACTGAGAAACTTTTTACTCTCTGTAATATAGTCAACCTGAAATCAAAATTTCCCATAATTAATTAATAAGTTACTTAATATAATTTAAATAATTCATAATAAAATGTAAATAATTTACTTTACACTTAATTCATGTCTCTGGTCATACACTGCAAAAAAGGATATCTTAGCAAGATACAAGATTATCGAACTTATTTATAGACATTTTTACTTGTTTTAAGTGATTTTAGTAAGTCTGTTTTCTAGCTAATGCTAAAGTTAAGTAGGCTGACTACCATTTTCTGGCTAATGCAATTGTTTTCCAGCTATTTCTGAAGTTAACTAGGCTAGGACTGTTTTCTGGTTATGCTAAAGTTAACTGGGGTGACTGAGAACGTTTTCTAGCTAATGTTAATGTTAAGTAGGCTAAGTTTGAGATTGTTTAGATTTCCATAATTAATTTTTATTTAAAATATTAACTGAATGTTTAATTTTGACTAAAACATTGTAATTGAATTAAAATGTGGCTAGATTTCACAGGCATGCACATACTTGCGGACCAGTGGCCCTGAAAGCCTCCACGCTGGTTTGGGCAAGATCTGTGTGCTGGTCCCTCAGGGCAGCAGCTGGCTGAGTTGGTCATCATGGACCCACACAATCAGCGATGACCTGATCAAAAACCCTCTTTATAATAACCAGGCGCAGGGCAGAGAACAGCTCCAGCAGTGATGCAGGCCGAGTTCCGCAGGATTAGATTCTGTATAATGGGTCTCACAGAGGTTCACTGTGTGGAGTTAAGGTAGGGGAGAACGGGGCACAACTAACTCAGTTACATGCATATTTAATGTAGTTCAACAGGTTCCAGCAGAACGTGCTTCATCACTTTCACAAAGCAACGTCATCTGTGAATTTTGACAGCAGTCAGACAGATGTTTCTCCAGATTCACCCTGAAGAGTGTTTATACAATAAAAGTACACATTCCCATCTTAAGTGTTTGTGATCAGTGATCTGTACAGAATTCACTCCTATATTATTTTCATATCTTGGTGTGTGAAATACAGCAGCATCTAGAAGCATAAAAGAACTGTGCCTTTCCTGCCAACCCTGGTACATTGAGTTTCATGTTGGGAGCAAAGCTGCAAAGATATTTTTCCCACAGCACAGTAAAGAAAATGGTTCTAAGTAACCCTTGGAGAACCAGCTTTAAGTGTGTGGAAAAAATTAAGTACACAGTGAGGGTCTGGTAACAAACGGTATACAGTTTGTTGAGGGTTTAGTCACTTCACTCTGCAAACTGACCTGTTTACATCATTCCTGCTTTAGTTAGTGGATCATTTTCCCTCCTTTCTGGTATTATTCGTAAGAATCATTGTAAAACTCAAAACAATTGTTAAAAACATTAGCAGGGATTTGTAGGTTGCTTGTATAAAAACAAATACATTAAATAATATTCAGCATAAAAAAGTGTCCTATCCCCTACAAGTTTACACCCACAGAACAGAATATATGAAACCCCTATGAAGGATTTAAAATGGAAGAGTCAAAAGTTTCAAGGAGCAGAAAAGAGAAACTGAATATTGACTTTTTTTAAAAGAGCAAATGAAATTATGAACAGCCACTGTTTACACACTCATTTTAATCAGATTAGCGCAAACACAAATATCCAAGCTTGATCAGAACAGGTTCATTTCCATGGAGGAAAAAAAATTGGTCAAGATTTTGGGCTGGAATGTAAACATTACTGCTCAGACATAACTTAGTGCTTCAGTTCAGCCTCTGTACATTCACAATAAATTCATATATACAAAATAAATCAGCCTTAAACTCAAAACGCTCATCCAGTTGTCTCAAATTTCCACTGTGACTAACAAATGCAGGCTTCTCGCAAGAAACAGCTTCAAAATAAATAATCCAAAACTCCATACTGGGCCTGTCTGACAGTGAGCCCTAACCCTTGACCTTCTGAGGGGGTTTAATGCTGAACAGGTCCCTCAGGTTCACCTCTGGGTCGACGTGGTGGGGTATTTTGCGCTCGTTGAAGAGGCCGGACAGGTTAGCCTCCACTTTAGCCTTGCGGGCGATGCGCATGCGCAGAGCGAACAGGCTTCGCAGGTTGTCCTCCACCAGGGGGCGCTGGCTGCGGCCCTCCAACCGCTTCTGCCAGCTCTTACTGCTGCGCTTCTGACGCTGCTGCGACACACAAAGCGCTAATTAACAATTAACACTGAGTAATTCCACATTAATCAAGCCCCAGTTATTACTCAGTGAAGGACAATCACATTCCACCATCTAACACACTAAAGCAGCTCAATTAAAAATCATTTACATTCTGCTTTTATTGCAAATGTAGTTGCACTTTGTTTTTGGTTTTAGCTCCAGAGCTGAGGCCAATGTAGCTAATGAGTAATGGAAGCTTAGTCAGTCCGCACTCAAAGATGGTTCAAGGGTTTTTAGTAAAAAAAAAAAAAAAAAGGTTGTATATTGAAACCATGAACACAAAAACCTTTTGCATGATTAAAGGGTTCTTTGTATCATGAAAGCTTACTTCAGATTGATGGAGAATGAGTTGTATATGGTTCTGTATAGAACCTTTTTAGAACTGGTTCCATATTGCCCAAAAAAGGGTTCTTTCTATTGTTACAAGCTTGACATTGTAACAAAAAAAAACCTTTTGTGCTATAAATAACCCTATAACTCTACACCACAATCTCCACTAAACTGAGGAACACTAATCATGCCATGCTAAAGAACCCTTGAAGAACCATCTTTAAGAGTACTCCAATCACCATTTTTAAAGAAAATTCCACCAATAGAAAAAAATGCTTAATGAATTGGTTAAAATGTAGATAGTCGTTCAGAGCGGTTTGGCGTGAAACGCTCCGTTCTAGAGAGAATTGTTCAGTGGTGGTGATGGGAACCAGACGTCCACCTCTAAAAGCTCCCTCACAGAAAGTTCCTACATGAAATGGTTATGAATTCACTGCCTGATGACTGAGACACTTTTATGATAGTTTTGAGAAGATTTTGGCCTTAAACTCCATTCATGGTGGAGGGATACATAATATGCAGGGCGCTGTGAGGCAAAATAGCCCCCAAAGAAAACTAATTATTTCAGATTTTCCACTATTTTCCATCATCAACATTCCATATAAACTCAGAAGACTCGTGTAGGTTCACTGGTGGTTCTGGATAGTAAATAAAATGTCTATATCTGTGCTGTAGTCATGGCGACCCCTGGTTCCTATCACCACCACTGTAAAGACACCTGAATTTCTGACAGTGGAATTCGCCTTTCAGTGTCTCTAATAGACTTGACATGGTCTCTGATACACCTATCTATGAACATGGACTAGATTCAGACTACTGTTTTTAGCTTGCAATGTACTTTAGCCTAAGATGAAGTGCCTCACCAACCTGGCTTGTAACTGAAGATTCTCCACCAGGAGCAGCATTAGTACTGAGATGTTGGTGCTTTAGGAAGAGTGGCGTTTTGCGTCACTGTGTTTACATTCACTCAATTATCCAACCATAATCAGATTTCTACAGTTATCTGACTATTCAAACGTTTTGGTAAACAGCACGCTGATTTCTTAGATCGGAGTAAGGTCAAGAAATCTGATTGATAGAGTCTGGATTTTAGCTCAGTTATCAGATTTCAGTGCTGTAGACTCTTACTCTGATTTCTTTCAAATTTCAGTCTGAGCATGTGCGGAAACAGACAGCAGTACCGTAAATAAGCAAGCAGCGTTGCTGCGAGACGCAGCAAAACACTTTTGGAGCGACGCTGAAGCCAAACACATACTTGACAAAGGATTTAAATTTTCTTCATCTTCTAGATGATGCATGTTCATATTTTCAGGTAAAGCGGTGCGATGTTTGAAAAAAAGCTGCATCATTAAGTTTGTCACATCTTCTGAGAGTTTATTGGCTGGTTGTAAAGCAGAAATCTGATTACTGTCTGACTCATGCAGACCTGGAATTTCCCCATTATCTGATTACTCAAGTGCATGCAAACATGATCAGATTACTGACAAAATCTGATTTTCTGCAGTTATCAGATTATTAAGTGCATGTAAACACTCACTAAGTCTTTGCTATAAATGACAGTGCAGCCTGAGCTTCCACTGCTCATTAGCCACATTAGACTCGTTAAAACTAAAGAAGCAAAGTTAATGTCTTAGCTGATCAACTACAGGGTGTCCCAAAATAACAGCCAATTCTCCCTCAAATGATCTCAAATTAACAAAATGTGTAAAAACTAACCAAGTTTCATTTTTAATGTGTTTTCCAGGTTGAACGGCGTTCACTAGAAATGAAAAGGCATTTTGTGTTAGAATATGCTGAGTCAAACGAGAGCGCAGCAGCATTTTCCAGAATATTCAATAAAAATGCACCAACTGGAAAGCAGATTTTAACACGGCACAGAAAACAAAGAGGAAGGCTGTCTGTGCAGGACAAAGGGATCTGGACGACCACCAGCATCAGAAGATATTACATTTGTGAAGCTGTGAAATCGGTTATTAAATCTACATCCCTCTGAAATTTCTTGTTCGAATTTTGAAAAATAAATTTTGTTCAACATGAAGCCTATTTAATTTTGTTTGCCTGGACATGTAGTTACTCACATATTCACATCTCAAATGATGTCCATTTTTTTGGGACACCCTGGACAGTCTGGGAAAGGGGAATTTGAATTTCACCATGCTGCTCCCTTAAACAAGGCCAGGTAAATAATTAGTATTATTTACAGTCTGCAGGCTTAATTCTGAACAGAATGACCTTCAGATGCTAAAAATACTTTATCCTGCCTTTAGCCAGAGGGTCCCTGAGGGAAGCTTTCAGCACCAGCGTCAAACTCCAGATGGTGAGAATACAGCACAGACACTAATGCACCCAGCCTATCACACCTGACACCTGCCGGAGCTTTAATATACCCTAAACATCGCATAGCTCACACGTTTATGCAGACGTTTGAGTTCAGCACCTGCTAAAGGCAACTCTATACTGGACCTTTCATACACACAGGTATTCCTACAGTACAAAGACGTCCACAAAGTGTGACGCGCTTAGCCTTAAATCAAAAACAAATGTTTTAATGTGGATTTGCAAGCGGCTGGAGCTCAAAGCTCAACAACAGAGGCCAAGTTACAGATTACCTAGCACTGAAAATCAGTTCTGCACAGAACAACTTTTGGTCAGTCATCTTTTACAGTTAAAGGTGTACAGCTATGGAATGTTTCAGTTAAAAATCAAAACAACGTGAAAAAGTTTAATGTAAAAGTGAAACATCGGCTTAAACAGAAACAACTGAACATTTAAGTTTTAGCTGATATACAGACAAAGATGCATTCATCACAAATTTAATCATACAAAATATGCATGCACGTTTTCTGTATTTTATGTATTTATTCCATATGTTGCGCTATTATCTTCTTATTTTTATTAATTTAAAAGCTAATCAGGGGCTGGGGCTGCAAATTAGCATAATTTAGATGCTCTATAAACATTACATGTGATGCATTCTATGTGACAAGTTACCTGTACTGTCCCTGTCAAATAAACAAATCCTTAAGGTTTTCATTTCTAAAAAGAATGAATGTGTGATGGAAATGGAGATTTACCTTCAGTCTGCTGGCATCAGGGTCGTGATGAAGCAGGTGACGCACCAAACTCTCCTGTTAGAAGAGAGAAGAAAATCTCAGGAAAGACAAGACTTGCACCACAAAACATCTACATCTACTGCAGCTTTGTCACTGTCTAGTGAAAATCTGATTCCACTGGCAAATAATTCTGCCATCAAGAAGTGATGCTTGAGATTTTCTTACAGCAAGCTGAACTCATGAGATCAGATAGTGCCTGCATTTAAGATTCCTGTCAAACGTTTGCAGAAAAAATTTTTTTTCCATAAGTCAGTTTAAGACAGATATGCAGGTACAGATCTGTTCAACTCTATTAAAGTAAAATAACGCTAGACACCCCGGCCAAACACGTCATTAGTGTGGATGCAGCAGATGTCTGTAGGTAACCACAGGTAGAGATTTTAGATGAACAATCTTCTGTTTATGTATCAACTGGCAGTGTTTTAGCTTGGCTTGTTTTGTTGATTTTCTAATTATGATTTATTATGACCAACTTATTTATATAAGTTAACAACCTCTACAGATATGTTAAATGACATTTGTCTGCAAATTTTCGTGCACAATTTCTACTTGTTTGTTGAGTTTAACATACTGGAAAAAAAATAATCATAAAATAAATTAAATAACTTCTGCACAGGCCACATTTCCCCCCACCAAATGTTAAATTCAGCAAATATACACTAATATATACACGGTAAACTGTGCCAGTAAAAATGTGTAGAAGTGTGGTCAATCAACAAAGCGTTGATACGACTAGACTCAATTTTTTTTTAATTTACTTAATGACAAAGTAAAGAAATGTACAATAAGATTTTAAAGTTTTGAAAGTGTTTTATAACATTACATTTTGTTACCAAAACTACTCCAAAAACTGTTTTTAAAGAAAAGTAAGAATTCTCTTTTACATGCAGTATTAAATTGTTCTTATTGGGTGGAGAACTTTCTACTGGGCCAAGTCAAACGTCCTCATAGGCCAACTTTGGGCAGTCTGGTTTAAAGAACCTCCACATAACGTACTGATTCTATACCAAATTCAGGGTTCTTTGTAGAACCTTTACCTTATGTACACTTAAAAAGGATGGTTCTTCAACGGTTCTTTGGTAAAGACAATCGTTCTATACAAAACCATGAATACTCAAAGAACCATTTGCATGCGTAAAGGGTTCTCAGCATGGTGAAGTGGTTGTTCAGACTGACTGGGAATGTGCTATATATGGTTCTATATAGAACCTTTGAAAAGAATTCTGTATAATACCGAAAAGGGTTCTTCTATTATTACAAGCTTGAAATCATAATAGCAGAACCCTTTTTGATGCTATAGAGCCATAACATTCGCCATCAATCTGAAGAACACAAAGAACCCTTTGCATGATTAAAAAAAGGTTCTTTGCATCATGATTCTGAGTGTTCATGGTTCTATATAGAACTATTACCTTTACTAAAGAACACGTGAACCGTCTTTTACCGTCTGAACCGTGCTCCATGTGCCTTATTCTATCGTTCCAGTGTGTTCTGCTCCTGTTGGTTCTATAGATGTGTGACCCTGAAAACTAAAGGTAAAAGATAAAGGACAGACTGACCCGCATGGCGAAGGCCTTGGTGCAGCCGGGGAAGGAGCAGGTGTGGCGGAGGAGCTTGAGGTGGACCTTGCGGATGTGGTGCTGCAGGTTGAAGGTGGTGGAGAAGTAGGCCTGGCAGCCTTCGCTCGGGCACAGCAGGACGGGCTTCTGCAGGGCGTGGGTCCGCCGGTGCCTCCGCAGAGCATCGCGCTTACCGAACGCCTTCTTACACGAGCCGCACGAGAAAGAAGCTGCAGACAAACAAAGCTTGAGCTAAAACATGCATGCAGCGATAATGTGTCCTGCGGTGTGGTACATCTTGGGTTTATTCTTATTAAAGTGATAGTTCACCCAAAAATATAATACAAAATCCACCACCCTCCCACCAAAAGTAGTGAATTGGCAAAGATGTGTTGAAAAGGAGTTCCAGTCTTGTTTTTAGCCATGCTAACATACTTCAGTCCATGTTTATAGCTAACAGTGAGTTATACAGTGTCAAAAAAAAACCAATCTAGTCTATTAGAGACACTGAACACCTCCACACGGCTTGATGCCAGTAGGTGGTGATTTAGGCCTGCATGCTAATTGGTGGGGTGTAAGCTTCCATTACTTGTTAGCTACGTTAGCGCTGGAGCTACATGGCTAAAATAAACTCCATGTCTTGGCTGACAATACATTTGAGGTAAGGGAGCTGTGCCTCACTATAATCCACAGGGGAAAGACACACTTTAGGTGATAAGGAAGTCAGGCTGTACAGAGCTGTTCTCCATACAGAGCTAACAGTAGATATACAAGCATTAGCAACAGCAAGTCCATGGAGTGAGTGTTAATGCTCACAGTAAGACTAACCTGCAGCCTTAAGTACCAAACATGCACATTAAATCAAAGGCACTTAACAACGTAATTATACTGTTGATTAAATTTAACGTGTGAAATCTGAGAAACTACGTCACTTCTGTGTTTGCATCAGCAGTTCTTGCTGGCCAGATAAGCTTGCAAAATGAGCAGCTGTGAAATTTAAATGAACAAAAATCCCAGATAGTGAGCACATCAGTCTGCTGGCTTGATGAGGTCGGCACCCCGCTGACTGTTGGTCCACCCTCGGACCACCCAGATTACTGTTCTGTACACAAGGGATAACTATTTTTCCTCAAACAGATTTTAAATGCAGAGACTTATCTTGGAAAATAAATGACAGTAAATATTGTTTAAACTATTTACTAAATTACAAAGTGTAATGAAAAAGAAATGAAGGAAAAATCTCAATAAATTGCACTGAGTGGAAAAATGAAGAGCTGAAAAGTGACAGTTTGTCCAACACTCTGCTTTATCACCAGTGGGCCGCCAGCTTTGCCGTCCTCTTACTATCAGGGAAGGGAACCAATAAGCTGGAGCAGGAATGAGAGCCTTCTGCTGGTTGGAGTGTTCAGTAAACAAAGACATACTTCTGTTTTTCCATGCAGACCATTCTGGCTGACTAGCAAAGGTCAGACTGAGCTCCGGCAGTCTGTAAACGCTGCTGCGCTGCACTCACCTGGGTGTTTGGCGGCGTGTTTCTGGAGTTTTCCCCAGGTGTGCTCAACCACCTGACAGTCGGCATGAGGACAGCGGTAGCCTGGAGACCAACACAATGAAGATATTAGTAGAGGAGAGGACAAACTATACATAATGAGAGCCTGATCCTGCTCATGACCTGAAGAGATAAAGGGGAACTCCACTGATTTTCCAAAATTTCTGCTTAATTAAATGGTTGAGATGTAAACAGAGTCGTTCAGAGTGGTTTGGTGTGAAACGCTCTGTTCTATAGAAACTTACCGAGTCAGAATTGTTCACAGTGGTGGTGATAGGAACCAGACGTCCACCTCTAAAAGCTCCCTCACAGAAAGTTACTACATGAAATGGTTATGAATTCACTGCCAGTTTTGAGACGATGTTGGCCTTAAACTCCATTCATGGTGGAGGGATACATGCAGGGCGCTGTGAGGCAAAATAGTCCCCAAAGAAAACTAATTCTCAGATTTTCCACTATTTTCCATCATCAACATTCCATATAAACTCAGAAGACTCGTGTAGGTTCACTGGTGGTTCTGGATAGTAAATAAAATGTCTATATCTGTGTTGTAGTCATGGTGACCCCTGGTTCCTATCACCACCACTGTAAAGACATCTGCAGATTCTTAGCTGTTTGTGCATCACTAGATAGACACAAATGATCATGACAGATTACATCACAAAAATCATGATTAAGAAAACAAAAAATACTGTTCGTGTTTTTAATGAGGCCCAAAATGGAAACGTTCTGATCCAGCACTTTAGAAGTCGTCTATTTTAAAGAAGTTTAATATCCCCTAAATCTAATCAATCTAAAAAGAGCAGAAGAATTTTTGGTTCCCTAAGGAGAACCTTTCTGTGGATGGTCCTTTGGAGAGCAATGTGTAAATTAAGAACTTCAACATATTTAACAATTATTCCTAGAACCTTTATAATTGGTACAGAACCTTTACGCTTTAAAAATAAAAAGATGGTTCTTCGGGGGATTTAGTAAAGAACATTTGATTATTCAGTAAAGAACGTGGAGCTATATAGAACCATTACCCCTCAAAGAACCATTCGCATGATTAGAGGGTTCTTTGCATCATGAAAGCATTCTTCAAAGTGATAATGTGCTGCAGATGGTTCTATATAGAACCTTTTTAAAAGGGTTCTATATAACACCAAAGGGGTTCTTCTATTGCTACACCATCCAGCTTTTTCTTCGCTAAAAATCCTCGAAAAACCATGTTTAAGAGTGTAGCTAAAAGGGTTCTTCACACGCAAATCTTTCAAACAGTTCTTTAGGGTTCCTCTATGGGATTGCTCAAAGAACCCTTTGTGGAACCCTTCTTTAAGCATGTATGCAAGTACAGCATCATTTTGACTGACGTTTCCGAGCCAGCGATTCTGACAAAACCAAAAGTTTAATTCTGGTGCCTGCAGTGAGTTAAACTTCACCTGTGTGAGTTTTCTCGTGAGCTTTCCGAGCGACATGCGTTCCGAAGGTCATTCCACATCCAGCCTTAGAGCACCTAAAGAGGAAATGACATTCCAGAAGAAAAAGGTCCTGTATTCCTCTTCGAGTACGCAGTGAGGTTTAAAGTAGGTGGGTCATTCTACAGAAACATCCACTTCTATCTCTCCACAGGAGTCACTGGTGTTACTGATCCTCATTGGTGTTACACATAATAAAGGAAACACCAGAGACATTTTTAATGAACAATGCATTTTACAAAATACCTGCTACAGAGCATCAAACCACATGTCAATCATGGAATATCCACTAAAATATGGAATTTAATCTGTTTGTCTTCTATTTTTTCCACAATGACCTCAGAATAAAGTAGGTCACACCAGTGACTTCAGCTAAAAGCTTCATATGAAATCATGAGCTAAATGAGAAAATCTCTGATAACTGAAAGACACAGTGGACTCACCATGTGCTTTTCTTCATAGATCCTCGGAAAACAGGTAAAAGGAAGTCGAGTGATGTCATCAGTGTGACTTATTTCAAAATAAAAGATTTTTTGTTAAGCGGTAACACCAGTGACACGACTCCTGGGGACAACTTTCATTATATATTTTATAATATTTATTAGGCATTTGTTTTCTTTGTCATTTAATTTATATATTCCATAGTCATGTATAGATTATTGTAGTTAAAATTGCAGAAAAACGTCTACAAAATATGGCCTCATTCTTTACACATGACTGAACACAAGCACTTCTGTGGAGCTTGGAATTCTATAGGATTGATTTAAAAACCAGTATTTCTAAAGTGATGGATCAAGAAGGTGTGATTGTTAAAATAACTTGTTTATTTTAAGATCTAAATAAACTGTAACCCTAACCTGTTTAAGTGTAATATCTAAACGCTAGGGACACAAAAATGGACGTTTCTGTAGAATGACCCTGGTGTTTTAAAGCTGAAGCTACTTACCTGAAACGCGCTGAGACACCGTGACCAGCCAGGTGGAGCTTCAGCACGCGCCGCTTCCGGAACGTCATCTGACAGCCGGGGAAGGTGCACTACCACACCGGGAAGAGCACAGTGTAAAAATCTGATTACTGCTGTTTTTATATGTAGCACCAATATAAGAGATCAGAGCACTTTATTGATCCCTGACAGGAAAAACGAGGCGTTACAGCAGAGTGAGGTGGCAGTAGAGCAACACAGAATCCACACAGTTATACAAACAATACAGAGCTGAACAGCCGTGCACATACGAGCTGAATGGAGGTCTGCATTATGAGTGCAGTGTTTACTGTAGTGTTACTCCAAACGTTTAGCAAGAGCACTTATTTTTGCACAAAGTCAAATCATTAGATTTTCAAGAAACACAATGTTTTCAATGTAACAGTGTCCATAAACCTTTGATTCTGTATCACACTTAGAGATGGTTCTTTAGTAAAGAACGCTTCTACATAGAACCAAGAACACTCAAAGAACCAAAGACCATGGATGGTCTTTTGGAGAATAACGTGTAAATTAAGAGTTTTAAAGTTTAAAACCTCGTTATCTGAACATTCAAGTGGTCGTGTAAACAGCACCCCGCAATCCATAACAGTAGAAGAACCCATTTTGGTGCTGTATAGAACCCTTTTCCAAAAGCTTCTATATAGAACCATGTAGCACATCCTCCATTAATCCGAAGAACAATTTCAGCATGCTTAAGTGGTTCTCAGCATGGTGAAATTGCTCGTGCTACATGGTTCTATATAGCACTGAAATGGGTTCTACTGTTGCGGATCGCAGGGTGCTGTTTACACGACCAGTTGAACGTTCAGATAACTGCAGAGATCTGAAAGTGATCGATTATTAAGTGCATCTAAACATTTACAATCAGGACTTCGGTGAAAAGCAGAGTTACATCTTAATTATTATGCATATTTTATGCAGGTTAATTAGTGGAATGTGTCCTCGTTAATGCAGTTGCCCCAGTCAGCTGTGCTGTGATTGAGGGTGGGGTCTAAACCTGAAATATTCCTGACTGGTGTAATCCCAGACGGAATATTTTGTAGTTTTGAAAAAATTATTCAAAAACATGGAAAGTAGAAAAAAATACACTAAAAATTTCACAGCCATCAGTTTAGAGTAACCTGGTTAACGTTAAATTGAGTAATGATTTTTACACCGACAGTAGAAAAACAAATGATCATTTTTATTTAATTTTAATAATTCTTCTTAAAATTTGTTTTATCATGTGATTAACTTCTATTCTCCTTTAATTTGTTACATTTCAAACAATAATTTGAACTATTTTTGTCTTTCCTCTTTGGTAAAGCTGTATGAAAGACGCTACATAAACACTTGTCTTTTACATTTAATAACTTATTTGGAATTCAATTAGCCCAAAATTTTAAAGCATCACTTAGTTGATTAAAAAGTTGCGTCTTTATTCAGTGTAAATCTGTTCAATAGGTATTAATCTCATTAGGAAACTGACACAAGAATAGTCACTGTTATAACACATTAATATTCCCTCTATTACGAGACATGTTAACATGTATAAAGCGATTCAGGTGAAATGTTCTCACTGCACTGGCAGTGAATTACAGCCTTACGAGATTCTGCTCTAAAATGGAAGTAAACTGATCTACTGGAACACTTAGAACATCTAGAAAAAAGAGGCTGAATATTCATAACGTTCTTATATTAATCTTATGAGTAATTAGATCTACTGTCTACAGTAAAGATACTTTCACCCATCATTTTTGCAGCAAATATACCGGATTAGACCCGAATTAAGGTGGATTAGGTCTGTTAGACAGGTGAAGGGTCAGCATGAACCCCTGCAGGACAGTGAATGTAACTGCTGTCTCTCTAAAGTCCTACAGCGCCCCCCTGTGTCCAAACCTTAAAGTACTTGTCCTTGTCTCCGTGTGCGTAGCGGACGTGTCTCTTCAGTCTGTCTTTACTGTAGAAGCTCTTGTCACAGCTCGCCACGCTGCACCTGATCAAGAGAGAGACGCTCAGCTGTGAGGGGTACATATAGTGTAAATGATCACTTTCGAAGGACTAGATCAGTAAAAACTCAAATTTGCAGTTTCCACCCTTAGCACAAACGTAGTCGACCATCCAAGACACGTTTGGTGTTCATAGTTTGCGTCTTTGGTTTTAAACTGGAGCCAACAACATTCCTAGGGATTTGCAGGTGGTTCTTGGTTCGCTCAGATCAAGGGTTAATGCTTTTCCTAGAAACCTGGGTGTTTGATTCTCATTTACAATTTTCAGTGCATATTAAGAATCTTATTCAGTCATGTTTTTTTTCCCCAACTAAGAAATATTGCAACGATCAGACGGAGTCTTTTCAGGACTTATTCATGCATTTGTCTCATCTTGTTTGGACTACTGTAACGCCTTATATAGACAAGGAGCTTTGGCAAGACTTCAAAATGCAGGTGCTCGGCTCTTAACAAAAGCTGGACGTAGGGAGCACATCAGCCCAGTGCTGGCCTCTCTTCACTGGCTGCCAGTGAAATTCAGGACTGATTTTAAAGTACTGGTTCTTACTTCTAAGGCTCTACATGGTGAAGTGCCTGAATACATTCATGAACTGTTAGTTTCTCATACAAGTCCCAGGCTGCTGAGACCCTCTAATAAAGGGCCTCTTGTTCCCAGAACTAAACTGATTTGCTGTGTTGCTCCTAAATTGTGGAACAGTCTTCCCCTCAGTATCAGACTATCAGAGTCCACATCTTTAAGAAGCGCCTAAAGGCTCACTTTTATTCTCTAGCTTTGAGTCGTGATCATAGGTAGTTTCCTTTATTGTGTGTTTAATTTCTTTTAACTTTTATTACTTTTATTCTATAACTAATTATTCATTGTGAAGCACTTCGTGCCCATCTCAGAAAAGTGCTAAATAAAGTTCTCTAAGAAACTGATGTAGCTAAACACTGGAAGTCAAGCCTCCCAAAATCTTCTCTAAACACATCCCCACAACTTCTCACAAAACACACCCAGCTCTTCTTTAAAGGGCCCCTACTTTATTTTTGAAGTACATTTTTCCCCATTTTACACTTAGAATATTTGTGGTTTTATGTTCCCCAAGAAAGTCATAATTCAATACTACATGAACATTTTCCAACCTCACATTATCCCTTAGAATTAAACAGGCTTGTTAGAGTCCCTTTAAGACTGCTATATGTGAATGAGCTCTGTTCTGATTGGCTGCCGTGTACTGCATCTCATTCAAAAGCAGCCCGCGCTGAAACACTCCTTATAGCTTCAGTGCGAGTGGGCGGGGCTAAACTGCTGTCAGTTTGACAGGTGGTACTATGAAAAAAAAAAGTGTGTGACGTCACAAAGAATTCCAACCAGGCTGTTGCTGCAGTTTGAACTGTATGAAACTGGAAAACTTGTGTTTACATACTGCAGCAAACTTCTTTCAAACAGTGAGGAAGATTCAGTTTTCCATGATACAGGCCCTGTAAAGCCGTCTGAAGTGTCTGCCTGCAGCGTTCAGCTTCACAGGGAAGCTTTGTTCATGTTTGTGGCTCATGGTAGGCCATCCGGCACTCAAAGATGGTTCTCCAAGGGTTCTTCAGCAAAGACAAAGGGTCTGTGTAAACCCATTAACACTCAAAGAACCATTTGGATACTTAAATGTTTCTTTGCATGGTGAAATGGTTCTTTTGATTGATGGAAAATGTGTTGTATATTGTTCTATATAGAACCAACAAGGGTTCTGCTACTGTAACCATGTCAAGCTGACAATGGGAGCTTATAACAATGCCCTTTTCTTTGAAGAACCAACTTTAAGAGTGTCCTAAACTACATCTACAAGAGCTGGACGCAGTTCAAAAGAGGTTTTGGGGATTTATTTTCAGAAAAGATTTGGGTGACTATTGAGTTCTAGTGTTTGTCAGCAGTGTTGGCCTCAAAGCTCCAGCTTTAAATTAAAGAACAAGTTTGGACACTAAACAGGTCTTGGCTGCTCAGCTGCATTTGGGATGAGAGGAAAACTATCTGATTTTTCACAGAACCAGTCCTTTACTACCCATTTTTACCTGATCCTTTTCTCGTCGTGTTTGTGTGCATGTCTGTTCAGGTGGGCTTTACGTGAAAAGCTCCGCCCACAGCCCTCCACTGTGCACTTGAGGGGCCGCTGGGGGGCACAAAAAACATAGCAGGTGGGGATGGCAGGCACACAGAGCATAAGATAAAAATAAATCAGACAAGAACCTAAGAGATTAATTTCACTTGCTTTGGCAGAGTGGGGAACAAAGTGCTACTTATTAAAGGGAAACTCCATCAATTTTTTAAAAAAATTTCTCCATGACTAAATGGTCAAGATGTAAACAGAGTGGTTTGGTGTGAAATGCTCCATTCTAGAGAAATTTAGTTTTGAGAGGATTTAAAATCCATTCATTCATCTGAAACACTCAATTTTTAATATTTGAAAACTTGGAGTTCCCCTTTAAACATCCAAATTAGAGAAATGGGTCCCAGTGAACATGAACATTGGCATTTTTGGCAACTTTTGCATCAACCTAAAAGCAAAAAGTCCTTTTATAAGCCAAAATTAATCAAAACTGTGCTTAAAAGGGGAATTCCACCAATTTTTCAAAATCCCTGAACATTCAATCCTTGAGATATTCAGAGCGGTTTGGTGTGAAATGGTTCATGAATGGATTAAAATACATTTCAAGCCAAAACTATCATAAAACAGTGTCTCAGTCATCAGGCAGTGAATTCATAACCATTTCATGTAGGAACTTTCTGTGAGGGAGCTTTTAGAGGTGGACGTCTGGTTCCTATCACCACCACTGTGAACAGTTCTGACTCAGTACGTTTCGCTAGAACAGAGCGTTTCACACCAAACCACTCTGACTTCAATAATATTTTTACAAATCGGTGGAATTTCCCTTAAAGCACATGTAAGTCATTCAGTTAGATATGAATATGGTGTGGATTTGTAATAATCTTTGTGCATGTTATTCAGTAGGTTGGCCAGCCTTCAAGATAATGGTATTAATGTCACACTAAACATGCTTACATCAGTAATTCCCTGGAAAATATCATTGAGTAGTTTTAGCCTCATAACTCCATGCCAGTACGGAATGGAGCACCTGCACTTCCTACCTTTAACCACCAGGTGCCGCCAGTGTGCGCTGCTCTGAAGCGCTTCAAGTGATAAATACTTGATTCAAAAAGCTCATTTCTTCACCAACACTGGTTAAATTTTCTCACATTGTTTTATTGTGGAAAAAATACAACGAGCTCTGAACTACAACAGTCAGTAGATACAAAACAGAACTGAGAGAAATAAATTAAAATACACTCGAAAAGATGGTTCTTCAAGGGTTCTTTAGTGAAGACAATGGCTCTACATAGAACCATGAGCACTCAGAACAATCTTCACGGTTAAATGGTTCTTTGCATGGCGAAACGGTTCTTCAGATTGATGAAGAATGTGTTGTGCTTCTATATAGAAGCTTTTTTTAATGGTTCTATATATCACCAAAAAGGGTTCTGCTATCGTATACAAGCTTGACATAATAGAACGCTTCACCATGCAGAGAACCATTTAAGCATGCAAACGGTTCTTTGAGTGTTCATAGCTCTAAATAGAACCACTCCCTTGACCAAAGAACCATCACGCACTGTGGCTGCAGGTCTGGGCCAAAAGACAAATGTGAACACGCTGCAGTTCACTGCGCTGCGCTGTGCTAAGGGGGGCTGACTCACCTTGCCCGTGTGGACTGTCTCGTGCTCGTCTAGACGCCACTTGCGCGTGAACGTGGCCCCGCAGTCCGCGTTCGTGCAGTTGAAGAGCTGCAGGCGCGGAGCTGCGTCCACTTTCTCTCTGCGGGGCTGCATTTCACACTGGACCCTCTGATGAACTGAGAACTGCCCTGCTGCAGGGATTATACGATTATAGGGAGCTCGAGCTCGTTAACTGCCCCCTCTTATGGCCTAGCCCGGGGTCATTAACACCTGCGGCCTCATTAACATCAACACACCTGATCCAGATCAGCAGATCAGCAGCTGAGACTCAGAGTCAGTGGACCCTGACAGCCTCTGACACAAACTAATTAATTACAGAGCAGCACGTGGGTTGGACAGCATGCCAGGTGGGTTAAAAGGTTTTTACAAAGTTTCTCCATAATTAAACGGTGAAGATGTGAACAGAGTCATTCAGAGTGGTTTGGTGTTTTTAGAGAAACCTACCAAGTCAGAACTGTTCACAGTGGTGGTGATGGGAACCAGACGTCCACCTCTAAAAGCTCCCTCACAGAAAGTTCCTACAGGAAATGGTTATGAATTCACTGCCTGATGACTGAGACACTGTTTTATGATAGTTTTGGCTTGAAATGTATTTTAATCCATTCATGAACCATTTCACACCAAACCGCTCTGAATATCTCAAGGATTGAATGTTCAGGGATTGTGAAAAATTGGTGGAATTCCCCTTTTAAGCACAGTTTTGATTAATTTTGGCTTATAAAAGGACTTTTTGCTTTTAGGTTGATGCAAAAGTTGCCAAAAATGCTAATGTTCATGTTCACTGGGACCCATTTCTCTAATTTGGATGTTTAAAGGAGAACTCCAAGTTTTCAAATATTAAAAATTGAGTGAGATGAATGAATGAATGAATGAATGAATGGATTTTAAATCCTCTCAAAACTAAGTTTCTCTAGAATGGGGCATTTCACACCAAACCACTCTGTTTACATCTTGTTTCCCTTTAATAAGTAGCACTTTGTTCCCCACTCGGCCAAAGCAAGTGAAATTAATCTCTTAGGTTCTTGTCTGATTTATTTTTATCTTATGCTCTGTGTGCCTGCCATCCCCACCTGCTATGTTTTTTGTGCCCCCCAGCGGCCCCTCAAGTGCACAGTGGAGGGCTGTGGGCGGAGCTTCTCACGCAAAGCCCACCTGAACAGACATGCACACAAACACGACGAGAAAAGGATCAGGTAAAAATGGGTATTAAAGGACTGGTTCTGTGAAAAATCAGATGTAGTTTTCCTCTCATCCCAAATGCAGCTGAGCAGCCAAGACCTGTTTAGTGTCCAAACTTGTGTTCTTTAATTTAAAGCTGGAGCTTTGAGGCCAACACTGCTGACAAACACTAGAACTCAATAGTCACCCAAATCTTTTCTCCCTCACAGAAAGTTACTACATGAAATGGTTATGAATTCACTGCCTGATGACTGAGACACTGTTTTGTGATAGTTTTGAGAACTTAAACTCCATTCATGGTGGAGGGATACATAATATGAGGGCACTGTGAGGCAAAATAGTCTCCAAAAAAACTTATTATGTCAGATTTTCCACTATTTTCCATCATCAACATTCCATATAAACTCAGAAGACTCGTGTAGGTTCACTGGTGGTTCTGGATAGTAAATAAAATGTCTATATTTGTGTTGTAGTCATGGCGACCCCTGGTTCCTATCACCACCACTGTAAAGACATCTGAACCATTTCACACCAAACCACTCTGAATCTCTCTGTTTACACTTCACACACTGAGTTAAGGAGGAATTTTGAAAAATCAGTGGAATTTCCCTTTCAAAGGGTGAAATAGCCACTCATTCTGCACCTCCTTTGTTCTGTTCCTTTCGCTCTCTGTGTTTTTTACTTGACTGTTTTTCCTTTGTTTAAACCTCCTTTCTCTCGTTTTCAGTGGGCTGTATCAACACCTCCTTGCCTGTTGTGTTCGAATGAGTTATAAACATCATTTCTGACCAGCACCAGCCAAACAGCTCAGACTGACGAGGATCCACGCTGAACCTGAGGGAGTCTCAATGGGCCTGACTGTGGGTCCCAATGACCAGTTCTTCAAGGGGAAATCCACCGACTTTTTCTAAATTTACTGCATAATTGAGCCTTTGTGATGTAAATAGAGCCGTTCAGAGTGGTTTGGTGTGAAACGTTCCGTTCTACCAAGTCAGAACTGTTCACAGTGGTGATGATAGGAACCAGTCACTACATGAAATAGTTATAAATATACTGCCTGATGTCTGAAACTTATGACAGTTTTGTGATAAAGTTTTGGTTAAAATGTACTTTAATCCATTCATGAACCATTTCACACCAAACTGCTCTGAATGTTTACATCTCAATATTTATGAAACGTTGAAAAATTGGTGGAATTCCCCTTTAAGCAGTTTTTTCCCACCATTTTCTAACATCATAGCATAATATAGCATAAATAATAAATTAAAGGGCCCATATTCTGCATTTTTCTCCCTGAGGTTCACTTAAAACATTTGTGTCACTTTGTAAGCCAAAATGAGCTGTAATTCATTTCTACACATCATTTTCCATCCTGTCTTTATTCCTTAGAATTAAACTGGCTGTTTTTGTTACTGTGCCTTTAACACTGATATATGTAAATGAGCTCTGTTTTGATTGGCTGCCCTGTATTATTTTGCCTTATTCAAAAAGCAGCCTGGGCTGAAACACTCTTTCTAACTTCATGGAGAGTGGGCGGGGCTAAACTGCTGTAGGATGAACAGGTGTCCTCTGAGTTTATATGGAATGTTGATGATGGGAAAATAGTGGGAAATCTGAAATAATACATTTTCTTTGGAAATGCATTTTAACTAGTGATGCACAATCACAAAGAATCTGCATATTTCTTTACAGTGGTGCTGATGGGAACCAGGGGTCGCCATGACTACAACACAGATATAGACATTTTATTTACTATCCAGAACCACCAGTGAACCTACACGAGTCTTCTGAGTTTATATGGAATGTTGATGATGGAAAATAGTGGAAAATCTGAAATAATAAGTTTTCTTTGGGGACTATTTTGCCTCACAACACCCTGCATATTATGTATCCCTCCACCATGAATGGATTTAAAGGCCAAGATCTACTCAAAACTATCATAAAACAGTGTCTCAGTCATCAGGCAGTGAATTCATAACCATTTCCTGTAGTAACTTTCTGTGAGGAGCTTTTAGAGGTGGACGTCTGGTTCCTATCACCACCACTGTGAACAGTTCTGACTCGGTAAGTTTATCTAGAACGGAGTGTGGATAGTAAATAAAATGTCTATATCTGTGTTGTAGTCATGGCGACCCCTGGTTCCTATCAACACCACTGTAAAGACATCTGAACCATTTCACACCAAACCACTCTGAACCTCTCTGTTTATGTCTCACACACTGAGTTATTTAATATTTGAAAACTTGGTGGAGTTCCCCTTTAAACATTTGATCCAAATTAAAGAAATGGGTCCCATTCAGCAGTGAACATGGACATAAGCGTTTTTGACCATTGTTTGCATTTTTGCATGAAAAACACTTTCATTAGCTAGAATCGAGCAAACCTGTGCTTAAAGGGGAATTCCACCAATTTTTCAACATTTCTGAATATTCAGTCCTTGAGATGTAAACATTCAGAGCGGTTTGGTGTGAAATGGTTCATGAATGGATTAAAGTACATTTTAAGCCAAAACTTTATCACAAAACTTTAATAAGTTTCAGTCATCAGGCAGTGAATTCATAACCATTTCATGTAGGAACTTTCTGTGAGGGAGCTTTTAGAGGTGGACGTCTGGTTCCTATCACCACCACTGTGAACAATTCTGACTCTGTAAGTTTCTCTAGAACGGAGCGTTTCACACCAAACCACTCTGTTTACACATCAAAGGCTCAATTATGCGGTAAATGTTGAAAAAGTTGGTGGATTTCCCCTTTAAGAACTGGCCCATTGAGACTCCCTCAGTTTCAGTGTGGATCCTCTTCAGTCTGTGTTCTAGCGCTGATGTTTCTCACTGTCATTCTCACCTGAACCACCCACTTCATCTGAGCACCATAGTTTGTTGAGTGTAACGCATTTTGTGCTGGTTTTAACACACATGACATAAAAAGTGTTGTTAATATTAATAACACATAATTTAAAGAGCTTACAGTGCAGATGAAAACAGAGACAGAACAATATAAATGTAATATTCTGGTGGAAACTAGAGAGAAATATCTAACAGAGATGATAATACATTTATCATATCAACTGTTTGATCAGTACAGATGATAAGACGTGCTTAAAGGGCCCATATCCTTCACTTTTCTTGTACTTTATTTTCCCCCCTGAGGTCCATATATGACATATGTGAGCTTTTATGTATGTATCCAGTAAACAGTTGTAATTTATTGACACATTTATAATTATATTACCCTTTTAGACCTCTCGTTATCTCATTTTTGTTACCGTGCCTTTAACACTGGTATATGTAAATGAGCTGCTTTGATTGGCTGACTAGTATCTGCTTATTCGTCTTACAGCAGTTTAGCCCCGCCCATTCACACTGAAGTTATACAGTGTTTCAGCTCAGGCTGCTTTTTGGAGCCAGTAATACAGGGCAGCCAATCAGAACAGAGCTCATTTACATATATCAGTGTTAAAGGCACAGTAACAAAAACAGCCTGTTTAACTCTGAGGACAATGTTGTTGTTAAGCACTGAGTAATATTGAAGCAAAATAACATTTAATTACAACAACAACAGCCATCAGGAGGGGGTGGGGGCGCTGTATTTCTGCTCCAGCAGAGTGGTGCTTGGGTGGGGGTGGTATAGCGTCCTATGATGGGAGTGATCTGGCATATGGAGGCTCCTGTTATGTTCACAAGCAGCTAAATGATGTTTATGTTCCCTTTTCTACACTGAAATCCAGTCAAGTGAAGATTTCTGATTTTGAAGGGCTTTGAAGGCTACGTTTACGGTGCCATCTGCTGGACGAACCCCGCTTAACCACCAACTCCACACACACACACACACACACACACATCTTCTAAGCCGCTTATCCCTCTGGGTCGCGGGGGGAGCTGGAACCTATCCCAGCAGTCCCACCAACTCCACTGATTTTTCAAAATTCTCTGCATAATTAAGACGGTTAAGATATAAACAAACCACTCTGAACGGCTCTGTTTATATTTAAACTGTCCTAAGTTGGTGGTTAGTGGGGGTTTTGTCCAGCAGATGGCACTGTAAACGTAGACTTCAAAGCCCTTGAGACAAAAAAGTAGAGAAAAATCTCTACCCCACACACACACACACACACACACACACACATACACAACACATGGTTCTTAAAGGGTCCCTTAGTAAAGAGAAAGGTTCTATATAGAACCATGAACACTCAAAGAACCATTTGCATGCTTAAATGGTTCTTTGCATGGTGAAATTGTTCTTTAGATTGATGGAGAATGAGTTGTATATAGTTCTATAAATACCTTTTTGTGGTATATATGTATGTATATTGTGAAAATGGTTCTCTACAGCACTAACAAGCATTCTCCTGTTGGTGCTATAGAACCATTTAATCCTTTAATTGTTCTTTGCATGACAAAATGGTTCTTTAGGCTGATGTTGAATGTACTGTATATGGTTCTACATAGAACCTTTTTGAAAATGGTTATGTACAGCACCAAAAAGCATTCTTACATTGGTGCTATAGAACCATGAGTTCCATGTAGAACCATTTCATGGTGAAATGGTTCTTCACATTGATGGAGAATGTGTTGTACAGTGTTCTAGATCGGACCAAAAAGGGTTCTGATATGGTTACGATGTCGAGCTTGTCACAACAGAAGAACTACTTTTTGATGCTACATAGAACCATATACAACACATTCACCATCAACCATCTTGATCCATTGTTCATGCTAAAGAACCCTTGCAGAACCGTCTTCATTAGGACTGTAGTGTGCGGGTGATTGTGGGTTATGGCTGGTGTTCTGGTTGTGTTTGGTGTTGGGACTTTCGAGCACTTTTACAGTCAACAAGCAGCTTAAAGCTGCAGGTCCACTAACGTTCTACTGCGGTTCCTCAGACATCTGAGCCAGGCCGAGTACCTGCACCAGGTGAGACTACAGAGACACTAGAGCTGAAAGTATGTGGACAGGTTGGAAGCCCTGAGGGCTGAACTGGATGGAGATCCTCTGAAAAATATGAGCATTTTTGCTCCATGCGCTGCAGGTCTCTCACTAAACCAGAGTTTCCAGCTCCAGCGCCGCACAGTTTCGTGTTGTTCCTGCACATCGTCAGCGGATCAAGTCCATATGGGGCTCAGTCAGGTGTGCTCGAGCAGGAGAGCACAACACTGCACAGAACACTGGGCCAAAACAGTGTTTGGCGGTCGTTAAGCAGGTGAGAGACACACCTGAACACACCTTTCACTGCTTTGTGCAGGTGACGTCATGATCTCTACCTGACTGCACCGTTCTGCCTGGATAAAGGAATGTGAGTTACATAAAAAGTACCTTAAATATTTTAGCAAATAATTTCCTGAAGCTGGTCACAAACAAGATCTCATCCTTAAAGGCAAACTCCACCCATTTTTCACAGTCTTTCCATAATTAAATGGTTAACAGATCAATAAAGTTATTCAGAGTGGTTTGGTGTGAAACGCTCTGTTCTAGATAAACTTACAGAGTCAGAACTGTTCACAGTGGTGGTGACAGGAACTAGACGTCCACCTCTAAAAGCTCCTCACAGAAAGTTACTTCATGAAATGGTTATGAATTCACTGCCTGATGACTGAGACACTGTTTTATGATAGTTTAGAGAACTTAAACTCCATTCATGGTGGAGGGATACATGCAGGGCGCTGTGAGGCAAAATAGTCCCCAAAGAAAACTTATTATTTCAGATTTTCCACTATTTTCCATCATCAACATTCCATATAAACTCAGAAGACTCGTGTAGGTTCACTGGTGGTTCTGGATAGTAAATAAAATGTCTATATTTGTGTTGTAGTCATGGCGACCCCTGGTTCCTATCACCACCACTGTAAAGACTGTAAGTCTGTAAATTTCTTCACATCAGGCCACTCTGAATGACTGTGTTTGCATCTCAAACACTGACTATGAAGATAATTTTTAAAATCAGTGGAGTTTCCCTTTAAGGGCCTGCTGAAAAACGAGATCCATTAAGATTCGCTTCTTAATGGGAATCGGCCATAAGTTTCACTGCAGATTACCTTTAGTTCCTATTAGAAAAGCTGAAAATGCATCTAGAACCAATCACCTGTGTAACCATTAGGATTACACCATGGAATCAACCCAGCAGGAAAAATACAAAATACGCAAGGCAAGGCAAGCTTATTTATCTAGAACCTTTCATATGCTGTGGTCATTTAAATGAGAAAATACAGAGATGATTCAAGTTAAAATTTGGGTTTGGCCAGATTTAAAGTGTATAGTGTCAGGGCTCTGCTAACGCTCTCTGTCCACTGGCTCCATTTAAGAGCAGCATAGTAGCTAAACGCTATCTATCAGGAATGTCAAACCCTTAAAAATGGCTATAATTGGATTATCAGAGGTGAAGAAGATCCTCAGCTCTGCTAAATAGCCAAGTAAAGCAAAAACACTGCATACACTGCTTTCTTAAGCTTCATTTCTATTAGTATAGTTTACATTAGCACAGGAACCGCTACCCTATGTAGTACCAAAAAGGGTTCTGCTATTGTCAAAGCGAAGTCAAGCTTGTAGCAACAGAAGAACCCTTATTGGTTCTATATATAGAACAATTTTAAAAAAGGTTCCATATAAAACCATATACAACACATTCTCCATCAATCTGAAGAATGATTTCACCATGCAGAGAACCATTTAAGCCTGAAATCGTTCTCTATAGAACTCATGCTTCAAAACAGAACCATTCTCTTCACTAAAGAACTCTTGAAGAGCCATTTTTTAGGAGTGTAACATTAAACAAAACCAAGTGAGGTAATACACAAAGGATTTTGATTCTTTTCTATGATAAATCATAGATTTTTTAAAAATATAATTAAAGCAACAGAGATACAGCAGACAGTGAATGTGCACCACAAGTAATATAGGCAGCCCTGATGAGTTCAGAGATAAGCAGAAACATGAAAGAGAAAAGGGGAAAAAGGCTCCACGTATAGATTCCATATTGCTGTTGTTGGAAGAAGACCTTGTACCTCCAAAAAACAACTTTACAGAAGAAGGAAAAAACAGACTTTACTTCTAATGTGAGTCAATGGAACCAGACTTTTTTCCAGGTCATTTTGGGCCGTTTCTTTTGGTCCATTCATCATGAAATTTACATACAATGTAAAGAGAAACAGGTATTTTCAAATTATATCAAAAACTGAAAAATGTCAAAAATGGAGATACGAGGTTTTCTTCCGACAGCAGTGATGTTTTATAAGATATGCACAAACTGTAGTAGCTGCACTTACGAAAAAGAGGAATGTTGCAATCAATAGCCACAAAAAAATCATTATATTACTGTATTCTATATTGATATATTACGATATCACTATATTCTATATTGAAATAATGTATTTAAAACACGTATTAAAGATAAAGTTACATATTCTGTAAATAAAATAAAGATATTATTTAAGAAATAATAAATACATAGGTGCACTCACATATAATGCTGATTGCAGTTCACGAATTTGTTAATCTGTGGATTATTAATTCATTAAAGAATTAGATGTAAAGTCTGTTAAAACCAGCTAAACTTTGCATTCAGTAGTTTTAAGTGTTACTTAGCAGTTTTGCTCACTTTGCTCTCATGCGTTAAGAATTTGTGTGTATAATAGGTAATCAGTTCTATATTAATGGTCTATACTGGAGATATTTATTTACTACAGAAAGAGGCATTCTGGGCTTTACTGAGTGGGAGATAATAGGCCTTCTCAGTACCTGAGGTCGTTCGGTGACTGGTTCTTCATGCCTGTGACGTCAGAGCCATGGGCGTTGGGGCTCTTTAGGCGTGACTGAGGGAGAACGAGTTTCACTCAAACTCGAACTCTCTATGGAGCTCAGACACGAGTAGAGCAGCTCTCCGAAACAGGTAAGACCTCATCAGACTCACTTATTACTGTTAGACTTTTATTCTAGAAGTTTGGGCTTTATTTCTCCCGTCTGGTCACGCTTTTGTTTGGCCTGCTTTAAGATGCCCAGGCCAGCTTGCTTTCTAGTGGTATTATAAGCTGAGTGGACGCAGGTGAGGGATGCAGAGAGAGTTTTCAGTGGTGGACCTGGCCTGATCTGACCTAGTGACCTGCTGCTGGGATTTTGTTCGTTATAATTGGTTTAAAGAGCCAGTAAACACGATTATGAGGCCTTGGTGGGCCTGCATTGATCAAATCAGTCAGATTCAGTAGGCTCAGCTGGCAGTCTGGCTTGTGGTCTCACCTGAGCTGGACTTGTGGTTAAGGTTCATGCATGCAACAATAATTTATAATTATACAATATCTCTGGTGGGCTACATTTACCAGTTTGCCTAAGATGAGATCACAGAAGCTTTTTTCTCTCTCATGACCTCCTCATTGGCCTAAAAGCACGCCAGCTTTTGCAGTGCAACCAAACAGGCAGAAGGTTTGACACAGATTTTTGTCCTAAAATAAAGCCTCCAACATTTTTTTAATCTTGGTTTATGTTAAAAACAGAAATAAATTTGATCCACACGTGACGACGCTCTTATTCGCCAGCTTCTCATTCGAATTATCCGTTCCACCTTAAACGTGCATTAGTTGCGTCCCGGCGCCTCTAGGCTCTCAATGTAACTGCTGCACCATTTAAGGTGGAACGTAAAATTCGAATAAGACGCTGGTGAAACTTGCCAAAAACACTTAGCTGTTAGTCTCCTCACAGGAGCTGATGTTGATTACTCGGTCCACACTGATAGATCGATAAGACTCAGCTTTTCAGTCTCTCCTGCTGGTAGGTCAGTGTAATGATCTGCGGTCACTGTGATATCGCAGCTTCAGACAGGCATCCCAAAGGCACTTAGGGGTTCTTAAGAGATGTAGTTGATGAAAAGATGAGTAAAGTAGGCTGTCCTGCTGCTCGTGGTCAGATCTAACAGGGTCTACCATGCTCATCTAAGGTTAGTTAGGTGGTAAGGTTCTGAACCCAAGGTTTCCACACTTTTTAGGTTTATTTGGCTTAAGAACGGCTATCTCAGAATTGTGCCACTGGTCTGTGGTGAAATGACCAGTCAGTGACTGTAGGTGCATGTGCGTAAAAGCAGAGAATGTTGTTTTTTCATCATCCTGAGGAATGAGGGTAAGAAGTCTCGACTGACGGTTTGTCCGGTTCAGGAGATCAGCACATGTGGCCTGATCGCATTCCAGCCTGAACCAGTCCGATCACTTCTGATTCACACATACAGACCCCATTCTGTCTTCCTCCTGGATGCTTTGTCACTTTTTCCTCTCCTTTAAAGGTGTACGTTTACATTTGTGACTCACGTTGATCAGATTAGGTCTGTGCCTCTTCCTCACTTGAGTTCTGCACAATGTGTTATTGTTATCGTGATCAAATTCTGTCACGGTACTCTTTTTCTGAGTATATTGAGGTTTGGTCAGTACTTTAAGGCAAGGCAAGGCAAGTGTGTGTGGGTTATTCTTCATTTGCAGTGTGAAACCATGTCACAGAGGTTTCAGGGCTTAAAAAGATGCTTAAAATATCAGCAACGGCTCCAAAAGTCAGTATGTACACTTACACAGTTGAGCTAAGATTAAAGAACACTTTTTCCGTATGATTTCTCTGATTTTTCTTTTTTTTAATCCTGTTTTTTATTCGCTCTGCATCTGTAAAACAGCTCGTCACAAACCAATTTTCAACTGTTTTTAATATAAAACAATATTTTTAAGAAATTTAACAGAGGAATTTGTATAAAACGGATTCATGTTTACTTTTTATATCATTAATGTTATACTACATTTTAAAAATATCTACTTTATTTAAAAAAATCATTTGGTCTCTGCTGTTATCAGGACTCTTATATTTAACACAGTATTTTCAGCTCTATTAAACTGCCTCTTTGGGTCGAGGCTCATCAGAGAGGAAGCATCTCGAGGCATGAGAAGGTGAGTCACACTTGCTCACTATTTCATTAATTTATTAATAATTTTGTTTATCAGGCAGCTCATAACTTCTCTGTGTCACTGGTGTTTTGTGCTTTAATGGCTGGGACACTAAAATTATCAAAATAATGGCAAATATCATTTTTATTACTGATTTTAAACAGTTGCACAAGGTCACCTGATCAACCAGTTTACAAAATCCTCAGTTTTAACCAGAATGTCACTGGAGTCACCGTCACTGGAGTTACACTGTATTCATACAACACCAGTGACTGGAAAATATGTTTGTAATTAAGCCCCTTTCTGCATATATGATAATAGATGTTAATGGACATATTAAGATTATTTAATTTTGGGATGAATTAAACTGATTTTTTAAAAAATGTATCCACCTGAATTCCCACTCCAAATGGAGAATGACTTGTGTGTGTTGGTGTGTGTGTGTATATATAGCACCTTTCATACACTGCAGGCAGATTATAATTTAAATTAAAATTATAATATAAAGCATAAAATAAAGGAGACTAGAGATTAGAAACATGGCACAAACAATAGATTTTAAAAGAGAAGAATCAATAAATTAAAAATCAGATTAAAAGTTAAATGAGGATAGTGGAGCGGTGTTGGAGGAGAGAAGTGCAGTAGAGCTAACAGTGTTTAAACTCAACTAAAAGCTGCTCCAACAGGAACGTTTTGAGCCTGGATTTTGAAGTGTCCAGTGTCGGGGCTCTTCTAATGCTCTCTGTCCACTGGGTCCATTTAAGAGCAGCATAGTAGCCAAACGCTGCTTCTCCATGTTTAGTCTTCACCTTTGGCAGGACTGACTGACCAGTTCCTAATGATCTGAGAGTTCTGCTCGGCTCATATCGCTGCAGCAGATCAGATAAATATGCTGCTCCTGACCATTAAGACGTTTATAGAGCAGTAACAGCTCCTTAAAGCCTATTCTGGAACAGACTGGCAGCCAGTGTAGGATTTAAGATTGGGGGGGTTTCCTTCTTTTACTCCTAGTGAGACTCTGTCAGCTGCATTCTGAACCAGCTGAAGCTGTTTGATCGCCTTTATTGGGGTTCCAGTTGGGAGATCATTACCGTGATCAACCCTGCTAGAAATAAGGGTGTGGATGAGATGAACATCTCTGATCTTGATGTTCTGAAGGTGATAAAAAGCTGATTTAGTAACTGCTTTTACACGACTGATAAAACTGAGATTAGAGTCCATCAGTACACCAAGGTTACGTACTGGTTCTTTAGACTTTAGGGCTCTCAAGTCCAGATAGGCAGCTAGTCTTTGCCTCTCATTGCTATTCCCAAATAAAATAATCTGTTTCATCTTTATTCAACTGTAGAAAGTTTTGTCCTGCCTAGTTACTGATGAGCTCAAGGCACTTACAGAGTGAGTCAAGTGGACCATAGTTGTTTGGGGAAATGACCAAGTAGATCTGAGTATCATCTGCATAGCTGTGGTAAGATATCCCATAGTTTTGGTTTGGCCAATAGGAAGCATGTATACATCAAATAAGAGCATTAAACATTTGCATGGGTCATAAAAAGAGCTTTAGACAAATAAGAGCCTGTAAACAACAACAACAACAACAACCACCAATATAGAGTAACTTCCTAAACTGCATGGTAACAAGAAGCTGATTGGATGGCAGCCTCTTATGACATCTTATTTGATTCATTTATTTTTACCCATTGTTTAATTTCTTTCTATTTTTTCCTGAAATCAGATTAAATTTAAATGTTTACTCATTTTTCTTTAAAGACATTGTTTAGTTCTGTGAGCCTTTCTCTACCAGCTAGTTTTGCTAGCGCATGTTTTTTCTCCAGCTTATTCTCAAACCTCAGAAAAACTGAATACCATGATGTGTATCGTGACATTCTTCACGTATTGTGATGTTACATAGTTCTGCCGTGTCACCCGGCCCTACTGTACCCCCTAAAGCACCCCTAGCTGAGCCGCTCTGAGTCACGTAGCCGTATGCTAACTGTTCTGAATCTCCTGACGGGAGCGTTTTGTTGTGCTAACCGGTTGGTGTACATGCCTCAGATGGTTTGTAGTGAGTCATGTTCGAGCACAGAGAGTTTATGACTGAGATAGAAAAGGTACATCAGCCTGAATCAGTACATTTCCTGCTCAGGCCTGGGCTGATAAAGGGGCTAATGTTATCATGCTACATATCAGCCAGGTTAGGCCTGTTCAGATTATAGCCTGTTCAACTGCAGTGCTAATTAGTGTTAGTCTCTGAGTTCTACACTTAGCTAAATGAGTCAGGTATATAATTAATACAGGCTAACACTGAGTTAGCATTGTGTGCAGGCTAAACATATTGTGTGGGCTAACTTGACTTGGATGGGTGCACTGTTAGCATCAGCACACAGGTGAAGAAGTGATTCAGTGACATGAGCTAGAAAGAGTCACTGTAAATTAGAACCCATGAGGAACTGTGTTGAACACTTGAATGTGTTTCAAAGTTTTTGCCGTAGTATCGTTTTGATATTAGCGTTATGATGTACTTGTAGCTGATATCGTGACTGATATCGCCTTGGTGTTAACTGAGGCTGGGACCAGACTGCTGTGTTTGTCTGGGTATCTACTTCAAATGTGTTGATGCTTTTAACCTATTGAGTTTATAGTGTTTTGAACGGTCACTAATGTTAGCTAAATGCTAGTTTTTTAGAGTTACTCTAGCTTTTTCCACCATCTGCTCTGTAAGTCACTTCTGACCACATTCATCTCTGAAGGACCAGATAAATAAAGCCTTCAACTGGAAACTAAATGCTTGCTATGCTGTTTGGTTCCCAGATACACGGTCAGAAAACAGTCCTATAGTAGAGTAAGGGTAGCCAATTAAAAACATTAAAATTTATGTGTGTGTGTGTGTGTGTGTGTGTGTGTGTGTGTGTGTGTGTGTGTGTGTGTGTGTCGCTGTTGTCGGAAGAAAACTTTATCTCCAAAATGGTAACTTTACAGGAGAATGAAAAAAACCTACTTTACTTTAATGTAAGTCAGTGGAACCAGACTTTTTTACAAGTCATTTTGGGTCATTTCTTTTGGTCCATTCTTCATGAAATTCGCACACAATGTAAACGTCAACAGGCATTTTCAAATTATGTCAAAAACTGAAAAAAAAATGGAGATACAAGGTTTTGTTCCAACAGCAGCGATATATAATCAGTTTTAATTTAGTTTATTTGTTTTTGTGAGATATTGGGTTTTATATATTGATGTTTTTATATATATATATATATATATATATATATATATATATATATATATATATATATATATATATATATATATATGTATGTATGTATATATGTATATATGTATGTATATATGTGTGTGTGTATATGTGTATATATATATATATATATATATATATATATATATATATATATATATATATATGTATATATATATATATATATATATATATATATATATATATATATGTGTATGTGTATATATATATATGTGATATAGGACATCATACTAATCGGCTCATAATCTACTCTTAAAGATGGTTCTTCAAGGGTTCAGTAAACAAAATGGTTTTATATAGAATCACCAACACCTAAAGAACCATTTCTGTGATTAAAGGGTTCTTTGCATTACTAATTGGTTCTTCAGATTAATGGAGAATGTGTTTTAGATGGTTCTATATAGAATCTTTTTGAAAAGGGTTCTATACAGCACCCAAAAGCGTTCTTCTATTATTACGATGTCAAGCCTATAACAGTAGAAGAACACTCTTTTGGTGCTGTATAGAACCATCTACAGCACGTTCATCAATCTGAAGAATGATTTCACCATGCAGAGAACCATTTAAGCATGCAAAGGGTGCTTTTATGTGTTTATGGTTCTATATAGAACCTTTTTCTGTACTGAAGAAGCATTTTTTTAAATGTGGATGTTACTGTGCAGTTTATACAGTTAGTCTGCTTGTTGTTGTTGTTGTTTCTCTGACTGGTCTGAATCTGTATGATCAGTGCTGCTGGTCAGTGTTCTGAACATACTGACCATTCCTATTATATTCTCAGAAAAGAGTATCGTGACAGAATTGATCACAATAACGATAACATGGTCATCTACAGTAAGGCTTGATACCATCATCATTACAGTAGAGGCTGACGTTGTTCAGTTTTTCGGGGAATCTCTGGGCTTTACTGAGAGAAGTGCTGAGTGTTTCTGGTTGTTTGTCAGATCTGACCATCTGTTCTGCCCTTTTTGAGTGTAACTTCCTCAGTTGTGCTCTTGTGAGTAGCTGAAGGTGTTTAAACTCCTGTGTTCTGACTGTTTATGAATGGAGTGACGGCACAGCTGCTGGTTACGCTCCATCAGCGTCTCAGATCAGTTAAGCTGAGCGAACGCAGTGAAACTGAAGAGAAGTCGTCAGACAGGCTAGGACAGTAAATGGAGTCATGAATGAGTAATTGGGCTCATCCGTTCGGAATGCACTCACTGACCGGCCCATAGATGCCGATGTTGGTGATATAACTGAGTGTTGATGATATGATATGAGTTTCTTACCTCGTTTGAAGTTTTGTGTGATTATCTAACCATGTTTTTGTCACCGGTCAGTCGGGGTGACAGTGTGGCAGAAATGTCGCAATACGTAAAGAAATTTTTGGATCTTTTTTTGTTTTTTTTTTTTTCTTAAGTTATAAATTAATTTTTGTTTTGTTTTAATCAATTCCAGATTTCTTTTCTTAAGAAGAGTCTTAAGGCTTCTCTTACTGCAATAAAACCGCAGTAAATCCAGTTAAACGGGACTAATATTACTCTCTTTACAATGAAACATGCATTCGATCAGTGTCTACAAGCACTGACTATATACATGATATGCTGAGGAAAGCTTATTGCTTATTACGATAATGATAAAATATATTGCCCAGCTGAATTGGTTGGCTAATGTGGCCAGTTTTGTTGTAGTTTTGGGTCTTTTTGTTTTTGTGTGTTTGTTTATTGGGGCATTACACTTGGTTGTTAGATTAGTTATTGATGTGTAATGTTAAATAAAAATAAGTTTTTGGTTGTCTTTTAAACTGTCCATTTTCTGTGTGCCAAAATATCAAGATATGTATAGTTTATCATGAAAATGTCTATGATATATCAGCTCATTAAATAAGCCCTTAATGAGTAAAAGTGGGTGTGTTAGAGCAGGAAAGCACTGTGTGTGTGTGACGGTGGGCCTTCAGGAATTTATTATTGTCAAATAAATTCTCACTGTATTGGTAGATAACTAATCTGCTAGTAAACAGGTAAAAAACATCTAGAAAAAACTACAAGATTGACTAGATTTAGGAGCATTTTTGTGGTGTTATCATTATTTACTATTATTAACTAATGTTTTGTATAACTTTGACGAAGTAGTATAAATGGTTAAAGTACTGATTGTTCTGATTGTCTAAAATGTTATTTAGTTATGGTTCGGTTAGATTTGGTGGAATAATCATCACAGCTCTTGTGACGTTTTATACCTATAAGCCATTTTAGTGATGTTCAGTAAACTCTGCTCTTCTGTCTTCACTGACTTTGTAATAACATTCACGATGGGCCTTCAGGAGCAGCGATGGGAATCACTGCTTTATGGATCCAACCGTTTCCTGTACAGAGGGTCATTAATGCATCTGATTGTTCTTTGCATTGTTGTGGTTCTGTGTCTGACCACTGCCTTTACTGAAGAACCTTTGAGGAACCACTCTGAGTGCACTGGTCAGCCTGTTGCTCACAAAGTTTATGGAGATGGGTGATGGAAAGCCTGTGGAACTTGGTGGAGAACCTGGGTCTCCAGAGAGCTTTGTTTATCAGCTGGTTGGTTTTGGTCAGTAGTTTGAGTGAGCTGGCCAGCGCAGTCTGAATACGAGGCTAAATCCAGCTGAGGCGAGTGACGGTACATGTTTTTAACCCTTTTTGATGGTGCTGTTGTTTTTTTTTCAGTGTGGTCTTCGGTGTGATGAGACAGAAGTAACCCGTTCCTGAGGAGCTGTGTGACCGTAGACGTTTGTTGACCGGCAGCGATGGAGCGGCCGGCGCACCTGAGCAGCAGCCAGTCTGTCATGAGCGGCCTGGACAAATCTCCTGCTTCAGCCTTCAAACCAGGGCACTCGCGCAATAACAGCTCTGGCTCATCGTCCAGACACTCCAGACAGGTCAGACACTCCAAATCAATACTGCACAGCATTTCCAACATCGTCACAAGTGTTTTCGCTGCTTTTGTAACGTTTTGCAACATAAATCTGACCCATCAGTCTGAAGGCGAATGCTAGAATTAGGGCTTGATGTGAATACTTTTAATTTTTTTATTATTCTCTCAACTGTTCTCAAATATCTTGAATATTCTTAATGAATAAGAAAAGCTCAAGGCTTTAACTTTGTTTATTTGTAAAATAAAACGTTATAATAATATTTCATTAATTGCTGCTTGTATCTCCAAAATAGCAACTTCACAGGAGAAAGCAAAAACATACTTTACCTTTAATGTAAGTCAATGGAACCAGACTTTTTCTAAGCCGTTTCTTTTGCGCTATTCATCATGGAATTTACAGTCAATGTAAACAGCAAGAGGCATTTTCAAATTATGTCAAAAACTGGATATGAGGTTTTGTTCCAACAGCAGTGAATTATTTTAGAATTATTTATTCACAGCAACAAAAAGCTGTTATTTCAAGACACTTAAAACACTGCTTTTCAGTAAGATAACTAATCTGTCAACATAGACCACTTTTTTTGATAAGCACTTAAAAATGCCTAGAAATAAGTTGAGTAATAAAAGTACTGCCTCTAAATGAGACCTATTAGATAGAATTTCACTGGCCAAGCTGGTGTCTTTGTAGTGTAATCATATTAATAATTCGTTAACATTTAATATTTTTGTGTAAATTCTACTAAACACTATAAAAAGAGTGAAAGTAATTTGAAGTTATTCAAATCATTTTCTCACATTTTAGTAATACCAAGTTATACTTCAGCTACATTTGATTAAAGGTCCACTGCAGCCTGAGTGACACTCTTTAAGTTGTTGTTGTTATTAAATAGGCAAAGCAAGTTTGTTATATAGCACCTTTCATACACTGCTGTCATTCAAAGTGCTTTACAAATGAGATGTCATTTAAAAAAGTAATGGAGAACGGAAAATAAAAACATGATTAAAACAATAGATTTAAAAAAGAAATTCATTTAATAAACAAATTATTATTATTATTATTATAATTAAAAATCAAATTAGAAATTAAAATTTTAAATTGGGATAAACTGCCATTACAATAATTAATAGTTAGGACTATTTAGTTGATGATGATGATGATGATGATGATAATAATGATAATAATAATAATAATAATAATAATAATAATAATAGTAGTAGTAGTAGTAGTAGTAGTAGTAGTAGTAGTAATATTATTATTATTATTATTATTATTATTATTATTATTATTATTATTATTATTAATCATCATCATCAGTAAATTGCGTGCTCTTCTGACTTGTCTGACTCATTCTGACTCTGCTTACATGCTTGTGCAGAACTCCAGAGACTGGGAGATTGTGACGGATCGGCCGCCTCATGTCGGTGCTCCTGGTGCGTGCGTGGAGAAGAACAGCATTCCGGGCATTTGTGAGGGCTATCTGATGAAGAAGAGGAAGTACCCGCTTCAGGGCTGGCACAAGGTGTGACAGATGGCATCTCAACACTGACCACGCCGTAACTTTTTCCCCACCGTCCTGTTTTATACTTACAGTCTCACCTTTTCTCCAAAACAGAGATACTTCATGTTGGACAAAGGAGTCCTGAGATACGCCAAGACCCAGCAGGACGTGAGTAACAGGGGTGTTTCATAGAGCTGCGCGATACGGTCACAGTGTCAAATCACGATTCTGATATGACTCACAGAACGCTCCTGAAAAAATACAGTAATGAAACAGAAATAAAATAAAGTGCCACAAAGTGTCATTGAAGAACCATTATTGGTTCCTTAAATAGTCACTTTTAAAAAGGGATCTGTGACTGTGAAGTACTTTTAAAGGCATGGAGAACCCTTATGTAAATGTTCTAAATCACTTTAAGGGTTCTTCCTAGAACATGTGCATGTGCATCTTTAAACTTCAAAAAAGCTTTTCACACTCACATCATTTGTGGTTCTTTAAAGAACCATCCATTGAAAGATTCTCTAGGTTCTTCTTTGTCATCACACAAAGAACCTTTCAGCGGATAGATCTTTAGGTTCTTCTGTGTCATCATGCAAAGAGCCCTTCCTAGCACCTTTTGTTGTGTTTTTAAAAAGAGTGTATATTAAAGCAAGTGATGTCATGGAAGAACCATTTTTGGTTCCCCAAGGAACCTTTCAGTGAATGGTTATTTAAAAGAACCGTTTTTGTAAAATGCATAAGTACACGGAACCTATTTAAAGTTTAGCAATCATCTACATGATGTAAAAATTCTACGTATATCAATTTTTTTTTAGAACCGCTTAGGAACCTTTTTAGTTTTAAGGGTGCTGGAGAATTTATCCAACCATCCAAGAACGTCTGCGATCGGAACCCTTGTGTGACCTCAGCACCACAAAGGCCAAAATCACTAATGATGAACAATGTATGGTGCAGCCAAACAGTCTTAATAAACAGAGCTTTGACATAGAACCACTTTTGGTTCCATAAAGAACCTTTTTAGTAGCTGATTCTTTGAATGGATCATTTTTATAAGTGAGATGAGAGTGAAGGATGTTTTTAATCTTTAAAGAGCCTCATTACGCAGCGTTTCGGTACCAGTTAAGTGTTTTTTTTTCGTTTATTTTTTATTTTTTCTGGAACCGTATGTCCAAACCTAGAACCAATTAGATTGTGTAGTGTAGTTTTATACGTTTTCAGCTGTTTCACTTTTCTCCTCCTGTTTTTGAGTTGAACTGTGTGATCTCTGTTCCAGCTTGCGAGGGGGAAGGAGCACGGCTTCATGGACGTTAGCCTCGCCGTCATGTCCGTCAACAAGAAATCCAACCGTATTGACCTGGACGCCGGACATAACTTGTATCACCTCAAGGTGCGTAGAAGTCTGAAGTTCTTGGGAGTTGGCCTCGCATTAAATTATAGCTGATGATTAAGTGTCATATTAATAATTTCGATCTTTTCTTGTTCCTTGTGTGTAACTATTAATTAGCTGAGTAGCTTTGTTGCTCAGCAGCTGTTACTGGCTGTACTGACGATGAATGACCCTATGCGGCATCAGGTGTAGAATCAAAGCTACACTCTTTAAAAAGGTGGTGCTTCAAGGGTTCTTTAGTAAGGAAACAGATTCTGTATAGAACCATAAGCACTCAAGAGAGAACGCTTTGCATAATAAAAGGGCTCTTTGCATCATAAACGTTCTTTGGGTTCATGGAAATGGTGCATGACTGTTATAGAGGGTTCTGTGTAGAACCTTTTTGAAAAGTGTTCTATATCACACCCCAAAGCTTGACATCGTAACAATAGAAGAACCCTTTTGAGTGCTATATTGAGCCTTTTCTTCATCAATCTGAAGAACCTTTCATGATGCAAAGAACCCTGTAATCTTGCAAAAGGTTCTTTGAGTGTTCATGGTTCTATATAGAACAGTTTTCCTTGCTAAAGAACCTTTGAAGCACCATCTTTAAGAGGGTAGTTTTTCTTGAGAATGAAAATAATGAAAAAACACTTTCTGCTTGTAAACATGCTGAAACTTTCTATGTTGAATTATCCTGCTGAAAAAAACATTAGAACCATTAGGATTTTTGCTTTTTAATGGGAACTGGCTTAATGGTGACCCTTACAGACCACTAGTTTCCTGTAGATCCCATTAGGGAACAATCAGATGCATCTGGAGTCATGAACAGCTGTTAAACCGTTAGGGTTCTTTACACTCTGATATCAACCCATCAGGACAAACACAGAGTAGCATTAGTGACTATTGGACACCAGCAGAAACAAACACACTTTACTGGGTTATGTTATTAATGATATTATTAATGGGGCTGCCTAGCTAACAAACAAGCTAAGAGCACCAAGATAGAAGTTATGCTAGTTATAGTCCCGTAACGTGTCTCAATGAATGTGTTTATGCTCTTTTATTTACATTTATTTGCCTCAACACACACACACACACACACACACACACACACACACACACACACACACACACAGTTGACCTTCTGCTTGAGGCAGCGTGAGTGTGAAATGTAACGACAGTGGAAAATGTTTTTGCTGGGACAGTCGTGGGCTGGAGGTTAGGGAACCAGCCCCGTGACCGGAAGGTCACCAGTTTGATCCCCTGAGCCGACAGTACGTGACTGAAGTGCCCTTGAGCAAGGCACCTAACCCCCAACTGCTCCCTGAGCGCTGTGGATAAGGCTGCCCACTGCTCCGGGCAAGTGTGCTCACTGCCCCCTAGTGTGTGTGTTGTGGTAGTGTATGTGGTGTTTCACTGCACGAATGGGTTAAATGCGGAGGTGAAATTTCCCCGTTGTGGGACTAATAAGGGTCACTTAATCTTCACTTTAAGTAGTTTGATAAACATAATTTACATTTGCCTGTTTTTTTTTTTTGTTTGTTTTTTTGTTGTTTTGTTGTTGTTGTTGTTGTTGTTGTTGTTGTTGTTGTTGTTGTTGTTTTTTTGTTTGTTTTAATCTGAATGTCTTCCCACAGATCAAGAATCATGACATGTTCTACATTTGGCTGACCAAGCTGACGGCCCATCGCATGTATAAGAAGAATGAGGCGATGTACATCCACCAGGGCATCCTGCAGGCGCTCTCGGCAGGAAACAGCAACTCGCTGCCCGCCATGGCCAGCCTCGCCCAGAGAAACAGGGCCATGATGGACATGGTGAGAGGAATTCACGACATCTGTTCACCAAAATATCGCAGGGTAGAGTTGCTTTAACGTGTGGGCAGGTGGGCGGTCAACAGTGCAAATGACAAGAGTTTAAGGGCCCATAGCGTGCTAAAAGATGTGCATTGCTTTGAGGCACAATGCTGGACAGCCAATCAGAGCCAGAGTATGTGAGGGGAGTGGAGCGGCAGGCGTTTCAGGTCCTCACTCAAAGCCTTCTGTAATCACTCCAGTCCGCTCCGGGTTTTCCTGCTCCACTCTCGCACGTCAGAGAAATCCAGCTTCATAAGATTCATTCTTATGTTTATTTTCTGTCTTGAACAAATGCAGCAGAGACTGCACACTTTACTTCACTAGTTATATAATTTATGGTCATTATTAAGCAAAATAAGTTAAGCGTTCTGCGCTACCAGCTTCTTTTTGTGGAGGTATGGGCTTTAAGTGACGGCCCAATCATAATTAATATCATAATTAGTTAAAACTAAGTATAGAACTTTCTGGAAGTCACAAATGTCTTCTGTGGGGACTAAATACAATAAACGAGATGTTTGGATAAACACACTATTAACCCTGAATTACAGCAACAGTAAGACTGTATAAATCACTTACATCTCTTAGGTGGAGGTTCTGTACTTGAATTACAGTAAATGTTTACATATGATTTAACCTGAGGTAGTCAGTCGGTACGTTTTAGAATTGGTTTAATTTTAATCTGTCTTTCTTTTCATAATAGAAGGCATAGAAATTAGTGCATAGATTAATTCACTGTCCAAAAAAACGCGCTTCTGTCTTTAAAGAAGTGATTATAAGTAGAGCACTGAAGCTGTCGTGACAGTGATGATGTATGTCTGTATGGCATGTGACAGAACTGAAGAGTCATGATGACCTTTTGCCTTCTTTTGCTGGGACAAAACAAACTGTTTACGTCCTCCAGGAACAACAAATGTCAGTCATCCAAGCAGCGATGAACCAGACTGAAAAATCTCTTTATTGCACCTTTTAAAGGGTCCGTTGTCGTGGAAAACCAAGATTTGTGTGCCTTTTAACTTTTTTTTTAAACATCTCAGATTTTAAATCCAATCACATTTTTTTTTTTTATAATAGACATAAGTGTTTGTATTGAAGTAATCACACACACATTAGACTCTAAATATATACATATACACTGGTGTTGCACCACTGTTGTGTTCACTTCCCAGTGCGTATGTCCATATGTGCAAACTAAACTACAGAAACATTCTGTTTTGAATTCCCAGTGGTTGTGATGTCACAACTATGAATGCGTTTACATACAGCCCAAAGCTGCTTGGCTCCAGCCCATTCACACTAAAGTCATAAGGAATGTTGTTGCTTTTGAACAAGGCACAATACAGGGCAGCCAATTAGAACAGAGCTCATTTACATATATCGGTCTTAACTAGCTGTTTGTTAGTGTGTATTTTAATTCTGAGGGATTAAGAGATGTTTTAAACGGTCATGTTGGAATGAATTCTGACCGTTTTGGTACATAAAACAGCACAAACATTGTACGTGGGTTTCTGGGGAAATTAAAAATGAAGTCCAAACGACAGCACAGCTCCTTCCAGCCTGTATAAGTGACGCCGACTGCTGAAACCTGTCTGTTTCCCGCAGCTCCCACATTACCAGAGCAATGCATCCTTCTACCAGCCCAACATCCTGGACACCCCCTCTGCCTCCTCTGCCCAGGTCAACAGCAAAGTCTCCGCCTGGCTCCAGCAGAGTCAGGAGGCAGACTCCTGTCAGAAAGGTATGACCTGGCGCTTATTCACTCTTGTTTTTTAGGTATTACTGTGATTATTCTTATTGGTATGTGAGGTGTTATTCTGCCCACACCTGCTCTGTAAAGCCAATCTTGGTGGGGCTGTGTGAGTGGACTAGTAAGTATGTAAGGAATGAATCAAACTTCTTTAACATGAGTCGATGTAAAACAGGGGTCAAACTCATTGTTGAAAAAATTCAGGGAAATATAATGACAGTGATGTATATCTGTATGGAATGTGACAGAACTGAAGAGTCATGATGGCCTTTGTTTTTCTTTTTTTGTTGTTTATTCCTCCGACAAAACAAACTAAGTCTTGCAGCAACAACAAAAAAAGTGTTGTCAGTCATCCAACCAGCTGTGAACCAGATGGATAATCTCTTTAGTGCACCTTTAAACAACCCGTTATCATGGACAACCAAAATATATATTTATTTATTTATTTATTTGTAATGAACAGCATTGGAATTAAGAAACAAATTTATGTATGTGTGTAATCTCTGCTCTTGGAACAAAATCTCGTATCTCCAAAATGGTAACTTTACAGGAGAAGGAAAAAACATACTTTACTTTCAATGTAAGTCAATGGAACCAGACATTTTTTCCAAATAATTTTCTGTGAAAAATTAAATAAAATAGAGCAGTGTGTGTGTGTGTGTGTGTGTGTGTGTGTGTATATATATATATATATATATATATATATATATATATATATATATATATATATATATATATATATATATATATATATATATATATATATATTATGTGTGTGTGTGTAATAAAATTGTGGTTTTATTTATTATTTTATTTATTATTACTATTTGTAGTTGTAGTATGAATACATAGGTGTTTAATAAATTTGTGTTCAGTTAAAGTAATTAGCATTAACAGTAGAGTTGAAGCTGCTGTGAGTGAAGTGCTGAGTGGGTAACAGTTTAGCTTCTGTACAGCTACAGTCATGCAAAAGTTTAGGCACCCCTGGTCAATTGACATGTTCTGAGGTGTAAATAAGTTGCACATCCTTTAAAGAGAACACCCTTCTGCACATTTTAATACACAATTATTGTTTATTTATTTAATTAAACACATTAGGGAGAAAAATAAAACAATGTGGCCTGTGCAGAAGTTATGACACTTTTTTTTCCAGTATGTAATTCAGTAAATAAACAGAAATTGTATATTAAAATGTGCAGTAGTGTGTCTCTGTAGAGAATGTGTAACTTATTTACACTCAAACACACGCAGTTTGGCCGAGGGTGTTTTTATAGAGGAATGCAGTGTCCCTATAAATGTGACCTCTGACCCCTGCTAGAGCTGGCCCGCTGTGAGCTGGACCTGGCCGAGCTTTCTCGTCTGATCCAGAGTCTTCACTGGCTGGAAGGAGATCTCCCCATCACTGACTGTGACCTGGAGCGCAGGATCAGCATGCATGTACGTCCACTGTTCTGTCTGTCTGTCTGTCCGTCTGTCAAGGATACAGGTTTAGACTGCGCTATGCAGTACTGACAGTAGTCTCATTACTGAGTGAGGAGAATATAAACAGGCTAAAATATGGTGAGTGTGTTCTGCTGTGAGTCGCCTGTAAAGCCTGAAATAATCATTTAAAAGTCAGAGGCGTCGAGTTTTTCACACCACATTGTCGTCTTTGTGTATTAAAACAGCATTTGGGGGTTTGGTGCCCTCTCTGGGGGAAACATGTAACTGCACACAATGCTTGGAAGAACATTTTGTAATGTTGGTTGAGCTTCGGACCCCCACAAGCAGATAAATCTGATTGAAAGAGAATTGGTGTGCGAGTGTGTGTGATGATGGTGTGACTGTGTTTAGTCTGAGCCGCTCCTCACTGATGTTCCTCCTGCAGAATCTGGCTCTGGAGAAGCCGAAGAAGAAGGTGGGGAAGGTTTGGGGGCACAACCGCACTCTGTCCCACGGCATGGTGAGACCAGCACACTCGCCCTCACTGCCTTTACCCTTTATCCTGTCTGTCTGTCTGTCTGTCTGTCTGTCTGTCACTGCCTTTACCCTCCAACATCACATCTAGTCTGTCTGTCTGTCTTACCCTCACTGCCTTTACCCTCCATCACACCTACTCCTCCTTGTGTCTGTCTGTCTGTCTCTCTCTGTCTAACTCTCACTGCCTTTACCCTCCAACATCACATCTCCTTCTCCTCCTCTCTCTCTCTCTCTCGGTGTCTCAGTGCCTTTACCCTTCATCCTCACACATACCTCCTCTCCTGTGCCTGTGTCTGTCTGTCTGTCTCTCTCTCTCTCTCTCTCTCTCTCTCTCTCTCTCTCTCTCTCTCTCACTGCCTTTACCCTCCAACATCACATCTGCTCTCACTCTTGCTGTCTCGATCAATCTCACTCTTTGCCTCTCTGCCTGCCTCTTTCTTTTACTTTCTCTTCTTTCTAATCCTCCTGAATGAGCACTTCACGCATCCTTTTTCTTCCTCTTCTTTGTCTTTCTTTCTGTTCCAGTTTCTTCTTCTTTCTTTATTCCTTGCCATCTTTCTTTCTTCCTTTCTTCTTTAATCTTTTTGTTCCATTTTCTCTCTCTCTCTCTCTCTCTCTCTCTCTCTCTCTCTCTCTCTCTCTCTCTCTCTCTCTCTCTCTCTCTCACCACTCCCACTCCTACTTTTACTCTTCCATTCAGATCATGCATTTCCTGTTTTAAATGTTACTCCTTTATCTCTCTCACTCTCTCTCTTTCTCCCTCAGTTGTCTGCGTCGTCATCAGGTTTAGGCGCGTCTCTGCAGTCCATCCCGCACTACGTTTACTCTCAGCTGTCCACTCCGGGGGTCACTTCACCTGAGGGAAAGAAACTGCAACAGGAGATCTGCACCGTCTCCCAGAGAGGTGAGGAGTGAGGGGGGGTGGGTTAAATACCTGCTTTAACCAATCACATTACAGCTTACCTTTTAACCTTTTAAAGCAGGCAAATATTTAATTTAATTTCATTTATTGTTAGTCCTGCGTATTTATGTTCAGTCCTGCGTAAGTTCAGTCAGATGTGGCGAAAGTTAAACTTTAATGCGGGTTTTCTGTTTTAAATCCGGCTCACAGGCAGGTTTGATCAGTCTGAACTGTTTCCTGCATTCTGAGCATTTCAGCTCTGACGCATTCACAGCTCAGATATCTGAGGTTATCGGCTCAGTCTGCACGCTCAGCTGTGCCTTACAGGACCAGTCCAGGTGTTTTAACTGTTTATATGGGCTTTAAGGATTTTTCTTTATTGTTAATGATTTCATAACATTAGAATGAATATGAATAATGTACAAATATACATCTCTCAGTTTGGATATGACTTTCTTATGTTTAATTTTTTTTTTTTTCAGTCAAGATTCAAATAGAACTATTTTCTCAATGAGATACTATATTGAGAAAAATTAAGAGAATAATTATTGAGATAATAAGCCATTATTATGAGACAGTATTGCACCATTTCATCATAGTAAGCCAATATTTCAAGATAAGTCGTTGAGATGGTAAATATTTTTACGTTCTGCTGCAAAAAAATAAAAAATAAATAAAAAGGAATTAAAAAATGGCAACTTTTTCTTCTCTGCCTCCCATACAGGCTGGTTTGGTGTAGATAGATAAAGGTTCTCCAGTAGAACTGTTCCAGCTCCTGCTGCACCACAAACCTTTTACACTCTTCAGAAATAAAGCTGTCATTTGAGTGGGTGTGTCATAGCAAAAGCCCCACCCACTTTACTCTGATAGGCTGCACCCGGATGTCTAGTATTGCTCAGATCAGACTGTGTGTTACTGTACATGTATGTTCTCCTCCAGTGCTGCAGGTTAATGATGCTCTGCTCTGTCTCTGTTTCAGTCCATGCGTCTCTGAAGTGTGTTCATGAGGTGTTGTCTCTGGAGCGGGAGCGGCTCCGGCAGGCCTGGACCGCACCGGACCTCCGCCAGTCCACAACTGACCAGCTGGCCACACTGTGCACGACACTGTCTGAGGTAACACTCACATGAACACTAGAGAATGTATCTGCGCATCAGTCCGAAGGCAAGTCAACTGCAGCTTTGAATGGTGTGATTTATTTATTATAATATTCAGACAATAATAACTATTCAACCCATTTTTCTCGCAAATGTGCAATTATTTTCTAGGGATGCACCGATACAGGAAAAGGGCTGACATGCATGTGCATATCTGTCAGTGCCAACACAAAATCAATCAATAAAATGTATACATTTGGATCTAAATCTGCCTGCATTTGCATTAGAGAAATTATTATTATTATTTTATTATTATTATTATTATTATTATTATTAATAATAATAGAAGATTTGTGTAGAGTTACAAATGCAGTAAAATCAATTTAAAAAATGTTAGGTCAGATTTTTCAAACTAATCAGTCAAATCCAGTCATCTGTCCTATATGAGCGCTCACACACATTTGTCTTGAATTCCTAGTGAGGACTTCCATTGATCTCTTTTGATTTCTTTGTGTTACTGTAGCCAAGTAATGTTATATCTACACCTTATCCTCAGCATCCAAACGGCAAATTTTCTGTTTTTCCACAAAAAGAAAAATTGGTCGTTTAACAAAAAATGCTCAGGTGAGAACCAAGTGTTGCACTTGAGCAAAAATATCATGTCCTATCTTTGTGGGGACTTGTAGTCCTTATAATGATAGCAAGACAAGCAAATAATACAGACGTGTATATAGTGTTTTTTATATTAGTGTCTTTTTATTTAAGGCAGATATATCAATATTAAATAAACCAGTTTAGTGCAGATCATGCATCCATACCATTTTTCACATGTAAATAAATAAATAAAAATTGTTTTTATTCCACTCCTGTGTTTTTCCAGGTGTGCTGCTTTGTGGACCATTGTACTAAAATAGTTAAAAGAACTGAATCGAGTGATTTCACTGCTTACATTTCCGGTGGTATTCCAGCAGGTGCTGGTTTGATCGTACGAGTGAAAGTGGAGCCTTTTCTCCACTTTACAGCAGTAACTCTGTCTGAATCAGTGCTGAACTGCAGTATCAGCTCAGTATCTCTGTAGCGTCAGTGTTGCTGAGCGCTGATGTCAGAGGCATCCATTAAAGAACGAAACCTGATGGCGAACTGGTTTGGGCTGTTTTTAAATCTCTGTCGTTGAATAAGTGTCTGCTGTGTGGAAAGAAGCCAACAGAAAGTGCAGTGAACACGTGTCATATGTACCTCAGGGACTACAGGTGGAAATGAGCTACTGGACCATTTACAGAACGTTTTAGAGAGTAGAAAATCTCTTAAACATGCGCATTACGGTCTCCGTTTGTGTTGTGTGGGGTTTTTTATTTTTATTTTTTAAACATAATAACAATCATTTGTAAACACCAGCTGCCCTTTTACATGGTGTGAAAGTCACGATAAATGGACCAATAGAAATGCTCAAATTAATGTATTAAATTAAATATTATTTTTGCCTTAAGTTCCATGATCAGTTGGGAATTGTTCTCTTAAAGTTGCTGTTTTGGAGATGTGAGAACAGCCATGATGTACAAATAAACACAGTAAAGGAACCGTGGCTTCTTTTAGTCCTTAGTTCTTACCTGTGCAGTGGGCGAGGTTTAAGGGCCGTGACTGTTTCCTAAAATATTAGAGCCTGTGGCTCCGCCAGCCTCTCGGATACCTGCCGCTCTCCCGGCGTGACTCACGCAGCGCGGCAGTGAAGAGAGCAGCGTTTATTAATCATGTCTGTTTTTGTCTCTCTGTAGCTGGAGGTGCAGTCCCGTCTGACCAAAGTCCACTCGCTGTCCCTGTCCTCCGATTCCACTGAGGAGTCCTTCTGCACCGTCCGGCAGGACCAGGTCAGCCTCTCAAACACACTGTCTGTTTAAAAAATAAACATAATTAAAGACACATCACTCTCTGAGTGCGGTTAATGTTAATGATCATGTTTTCATTCCCACTGACTGTGTTGGAGCCTAAACAGGGCTGTTTAGAGGATCATAGTATCACAGTAAGGCTGTCACTGTGAATTATATTCATATTTTGACTATAAAAAAAGAGTGAATAAATATGGACTGAACACTAGCAAACCATGCAGAGCCTTTCAGAGATTTCAAAATAATTCTGGAGGTCATGACTCAAATTGTTAATCATACCTGATGAATCAAAAAGAACAAATGTATTCATTTTTTTTTTATTTTATTGTGTGATCAATGCAGCCCTATATCACACATAAATATTAGTGATCATGCTGCTTTGGGAATGAGGCCAGACTCTGCCCTAAAATGGGCATTTATGTAGTCATTTGTATCATTATTTAGGTAAAACCTGCTCTTCACACCAAAGAAGACGCTTTAATAAACATAGAGCGTCAGCCTGAAGCTGAAGATGATAAACTAACCCTTAACATGTTTTTTCCAGTATTGAAAGTAAAAATCTGCTCTCATGCTCATTATATATAATATATAACAAAATTCCCTGCTGTAGAAATGTGAGAATCTTTCTGTAGGCTTAAATTTGAGCATATAAGACGAATACAGTGAATCCTGATTATTTAAATAAGTCTTATTTTCCCCCTCGTAGCCCCAGAGCCCCACTCAGACCCGCAGCAGGCTCTCTCTGGCCGAGTCCATGGCTGAATATTTCGACGCCAACGAGGTGATCGTGTCTGAGAACTTGTCTGAAAACGAGACCTCTGACGAGTCCGGACTGAGCGACGTCACCACCAGCAACTCCGAACCCGAGGAGGGAAACGGTACTTCATTAATGCTTTAATGATCCAAGCCAGGGGGGTCAAACTCAACCACTGAAAGGGCCACATTTAATAAATCTCAAATCAGTGGGCCAGAGAATTTGTGTTTGTTTATTATTTTAAATAACATTTTGATATAATACTAACTGGCCATTGTTTATTTAAAATACAGCAAACATCAACAGGAATATATAGGCAAAAATATATATATACAGATGTGCTGCATTGGCTACAGGGAACTGTTAGACCTCTTTAAATGTCCTCAGGTGGTGGGTCTTTTAAATTCACCTGTGTGCTTGATGTAGTTGATACAGACACCTGCCATCTTTTCTTTGCTGGAAGTTCATCAATTCTTATGATACATTTCTGAGCTGCCGAGTGTTTATAGTGTTTATGTTGGTTGAAATACAGCTGGTGTGTTTGGTGATATGACTGATGTGGAATTGAGGTGTAACTGCTGTCCCATAGATTGCTGTTGGGGGAGGGGCTGGGCGGGCACATTGCATTGCAGGGCCTGCTGGGGATTGTAGTGCAGTGCATTGTGAAACAGGCTGATATTAATAAAAAAAATCTAAATAATTTTGAGGGCTTGATCTGACCCACCGGCCTTGTGTTTGACACATGAGCTTTAAACACACTTTCAGATTAACACACACCACGTTCATTAACACTGTTAGCACCATGCTAATTGGTGGAGTATAAGCCTCAATTATAGCTTCGTTAGCCTTCTAACTTCAACACGTTTGGGGTTCGGGGGGAAACTGCCAGTGTAGAGGTCCTCGATTCCGGACCCTGAATCCAGTTTCCAGTCCTGGAGCCGAGTCCAGACACGAGTTACGAGATCAGTCCTGAGCGAGCGACGGTGATGTGTGTCGAGGAAACCCAGCCGCAGAGCAGGAAGTTGTTCTGTGTTGCGTGTCTTAGAGAGGTATTTGTGGAATGCAAAAGCAGCTCCAACCAGTTCTAAATAAAGAAGCATGGCATGATCACTTCAGCTTGTTGGCACCACGCGGTCCGTCAAACGCCTGTTAATTTGCTGAAATCGTGGCTGCTCAGTTACACTCCTGATCACACTCCTTCACTGCGTCTGGGAACTGTGGGGAATTTTTAGTGATTGATTTGCGTTCGGAGGTTAATAGAGCTGGGCGGTATGGCGGTTTTCACAATAAATGTCTCAGTATTTGTTTTTCTGATTATCTGTTAGGTTAAAAAAAGACAGATCTAAAACTATGAATCTGATGATATTGATTCAGCCTTTCACACTGAGCTGCACTAAACCCAGTTAAACAGGACTAATGATGGTTTCTCTGTAATCAAATATGCAGGTGGGAATTACTGATGATACCCATGATGTACTCAGAAAAGCATATTCTGATATACTGTGACAGTTTATCGTGATAATCATAAACGCCCAGCTCTAGAATCCATGATCCGGAAAACACCTTAGAGGCTTTTTAGGCTTATAAAACAGGCCAAGGCGCTCTGACGGAGTAACGTGTCTGTTGTGATGGTTTGTTTTTAAAGGTTTCCAGAGCTTCATAAACAATTTTACTCGATTGTGATTCTTTAGAAATGATTCAGTGAATCACAATTTGATTGAATTACATGATTCCGATTTTATTTGTTTTTGTTTGTTTGAATACAAAAATATGAAGGACCTGATTACACACGCACATATGTGTAAATAATTTTCTTAGATTATTTCTTAGAAATGATTCAGTGAATCACATTTTGATTGAATTACATGATGCAGATTTTTTGTCTTTTTAAAAAAAATACAAAAATATGAAGAACTTGATTACACAGTAGTGTAGATGATTTTATTTATTGATTGATTTTAGCCCAAAAAACATGATTTCTCTAAGATCATGCAGTGACCAACAAATTTAAGTGTTTGGATTTTTTCTTCAACGTTCAAAGATATCCTAAAAAAGCTGATCTGGTTTAACTGTCACCTCTAGATGGACACAGTTTCACAACACTAATGCTTTGTCCTTCTGTCCAACACAGCTGCGGTCAATCGGCAGTACAGGGCGAGTGTGTCCAGTGCTCTTGAAGTTACCGCCGCCGCACCGAAGGAAACGGGCCGCCGGACGGTCCTGCCCGGTCGCTGCGCTGATAACAGCCACATCGGCATCCTCAGCATCCTCTACAACAACATCGGGAAGGACCTGTCCCGCGTGTCCATGCCCGTCGCCCTCAACGAGCCCCTCAACTTCCTGCAGCGGGTCAGCGAGGAGCTGGAGTACACAGAGCTGCTGGACATTGCCAACCACACCGACGACCCCTACCAGAGGATGGTAACCACACATTATTATTATTATTATTATTATTATTATTATTATTATTATTATTATTAGAAGCACACCTGCTCAGGTGTGATCTCCAAGAGCTGAGGGTTCCAAGGATAAACACACTGAGGCTCCAAGATTTAGATACGATTGATGGAGACTGTGCTGTAGATGGTCCTATGTAGAACCTTTTCTCAAAGGGTTCTTTATAGCACTAAAAAGGGTTCTTCTATTGGTACAGTGTCAAGCTTAGACCCCTTTTTGGTGCTATATAGAACCCTCTACAGCACATTCTCCATCAATCTGAAGAACTATTTGACAATGCGAAGAACCTTTTAATCATGCAGTGTTCTTTGGTCATGGTTCTATATAGAACTATTTTCTTTACTAAAGAACCCTTGAACCATCTTTTTTAAGAGTGCAGTACTGAGTCGTTTCTATTCTCCTGTCTGTTCTGCAGGTTTATGTTGCCGTGTTCTCCATCTCCGGTTATGCCTGGGCTTCCTGGAGGAACCGCTATAAGCCCTTTAACCCGGTTCTGGGAGAAACGTACGAGAGCATCCGAGAGGACCGCGGATTCCGCTACATGGCTGAGCAGGTAAGAACGCTGCGGTTTGCCCCTCAGTACAGAAGCGGTTCTTCAGACAGCGGCGCGATGGTCTGTTCCTGAACCGGCTCTGCAGGCGGTTGATTTCGGTCACCTCGTTCAGTTCTTGGTTTTAATCGTTCGCGCTCATAACTGACCACACGTGAAGCTGGACGCATGGGGACGTCTGTACGATGAGGACGGTGATAATTAACTGTTTCTGGTGAAGGACTGTGTGAACTGTTGACATTTGACTGCAGCGTTTTAGTTTTTCAATGTCTAATTTTACTGTTTCATTCTCTCCTGCCTCGTTGTCGTGGTAATGTAATTATTAGAGTTGGGCGATGTAGCAGAAATGTAATATTGCGATACTTCAAAGTTTTCACAGTACTCGATATGTCACAAGATTTTTTTTTTCGGACGTCTGATCAGTTGGAGCAGAGAAAAAAAAAGCCAATAGAGCTACATTTATAAAATAATAAAATAAAATACAATCAAACTGTAAACATAGATTTTTAATTCAATATTCAGCATTAAATCCAGTTAAAATCCAGTTCATTTTGCTCACTTTATAATGAAACATGCAGTTGGTCAGTGTCTACAAGCACTGGTGATATACACGATATGCTGAAAAGCATATAGCATTGAATTGTAACAATATTTATACAATGAAGATTTGTTGTATTGCTTAGACTCTAATTATTTATTTATTTATTTATTAAATCATAGGTGAGCCACCACCCTCCAGTTTCTGCCTGCCATGCAGAATCTGAGAACTTCACATTTTGGCAAGGTAAGACTTCTTCCACTGGGATTTTGTGAAGTTGAAGGTACCAAAAAGGGTTCTATAGAGCAGCACTACAGCAGAAGCTCTGTTGGTTCCATAAGCACCCTCTCAGTGGGTGATTCTTTAAACCCTCTTACTCTAAATGAGCTGTGAGCCTGAAGAGCATTTCTAAAGTTTATAGATCAACGTAATGTAAACCAATTGAATACACTGAGGATTTTGTGTAAATGTTCAGTCTGTTTATCATTTTCCCTGTATCTTCCCTGCAGATCAGAGATGGAAGAATAAGTTCTGGGGGAAGTCGGTGGAAATCGTCTCCACAGGGATGGTGAACGTCACTCTGCCCAGGTGAGAAATTCAGTTTTTGTTTTATATATATTTATTTATTTATTTATTCTAACTCTGAAGATGGTTCTTCAAGGGTTTTTGAGTAAAGAAAATGATTCTGTATAGAGCCATCAACACTCAAAGAACCCTTTGCACAATTAAAGGGTTTTTTCATCATGAAATGGTTCTTGTAATTGATGGAGAATGGGCTGTACGTGATTCTACATAGCACCCAAAAAGGTTCTTTTATTCTTACAGTGTCAAGCCTTTTCAAAAAGGTTCTATATAGAACTGTCTGTAGCACTTTCATTCACGCAAAAAACGCTTTAATCATGCAAAGGATTCTTTGAGTGTTCTTAGTTCTGTAAGGAACTGTTTTCTTCACTAAAGAGCCCTTAAAGAGTCATTAAATGTGTACTTGTTACAGTCAGTCAGTCAGTCAGTCAGTCAGTCAGTCATCCATCCCTCCCTCCCTCCATGCGGTTCCTATAAGAGAACCAGAGCAGTGCTGACTGCATTTTTTCTAAATAATTTAAATCTGTGAACTATACATACTGAAATAATTATTCATGACACTGTTTTTGTCCAACAGTTTCTTTGTCTGGTTTTTTGTCCAGTAATTTGTCCCTCAGTTTTCTGAGATCCACACTGTTCCAGCTCTGGAATGTTCTGTCTAATCAGGAATGGTGTGCTTGTATACAGCTTTTTGATCAGACATACGGTTTTTGTATAATCATAATTAATTGACCCCCCCCTTCCCCCCACCCCAACATATGAATGAATGGGGAGCAAAATTTTATGTTACAAGCCCATTAGCAACGCCCTACTAACCATGTGGGGAACTATTGCAGCCACCTAACACCACCCTTGCGACCACCTGGGATACCATAGCAACCCCTTACCTTTGCAGCTAAAATCCCACAATATCCGTTTGGAAACACCCTAACAACTGCCTAAGCTGTGCAGTTAGTCTTCATTTTCCTCTGGAAATGCACTTTTCTGTTCTATTTTTTGTTTCTGTGTGTATTTACAGAATATTGATGTGTAGTCATGTGTAACTGTCCCTGATTTATGATTGTCACTCATTACCTCTATCATTTTAATGGTTCTGAAAAACACGGAACAGTTCTTTGTCTCCACTCTCAGATGAGCTGTAAAAGCCTTGTTCAGTGTTTGTGTCTGACGTTGAGTCCGGCTGTGCTGTCCTGCAGGTACGGAGATCATTATGAGTGGAATAAGGCGGTGACCTGCATCCACAGCGTGTTCAGTCAGCAGCGGTGGCTGGAACATTACGGAGACGTCGTGATCCGAAACCTGAAGAACGACGTCTGCAGCTGCAAAATGACCTTCGTCAAGGTGGGATTCGGCTTCTAACTCCAGCAAAGAATCGTCACGTTCACCCCCCACAGTCTGCGTACAGAGCGTGTTAGTTAAACAGCACAGAGGACGTCATTAACGTTAAAGAGAAAACAGTCAACTACTGTCGGAATACTGCGTCTTATAAAGCAGGGATCAGTGTATAACTGCTAACTCACCCTTTAACCCTGAAGATTGGCACACATACTGCCCGTCACCATAGCAGCGCAGACAACAGTCTCGCCTAGCTAGTAGCTAACGAAAAGGCAAAGAAGAGAAAGATAATTACAAGACGAACATCGATAACTTACAGGCCAATTGACAGACTCGTTTGCATTATAATCACTCCAGCTGGTTTTCCGATTAATCTGCAACGAGAAACTGTCAAACCAGTAAAAAGTCAGTTTCTCATTCGCCAGCTTGTTCGAATTTTTTCATTCCACCTTAAACGGTGTCTGAGGCACCAGAATGTAACTGCTGCATCATTTAAGGTGGAACGGGAAAATTCGAACAAGAAGCTGGCGTATAAGAAGAAACTTAAGCCTTGTTAAAGTCGAATGTTGAGATTTTACAAGAAACTGTTCTACTTTTCCACAAAAGTTTCCTGCTGGAGATGTGAGAAAAGCAGCTATAGCTGAGCTAAAGCTTAAAGCAGAGATCCTATACTAGTACATTGACACATACTGAGACATATTTACAGCCAAGATGGTAAAACGTTACTTCCATAAAATGGACATAAAACGTTGCAGCTCCCAAGGTGGTTTGATTTTTGCTGAAAGGACAAAATGGCTCCTCTTAACATTTGGGTTGCGACTCCTGCCCTGAAGCATCTTTATTAAGGGACACATCATGGTGCACTAAATTTCCCTCACTTTTTTTAAATAAAATAATATGTAAACATTCAAGTTTCAAAACGTACAGTTCGCTCTCCAGTCCATATATGGAAACTAAGCTGCAAAAACAGCCTGTTTTGAATTCCCTTCTATGGTGTCACAACTCATTTACATATCCACCTGTTCAGCCTAAAGCAGTTTAGCTCTGCCCATTCACACTGACATTAAGGAGTGTTTTAGCTCTGAGCGTATTAAGATATAGAGTTTGGAAAATAAAATGGTTATAAATTTGTTTTTGGTACATAAAACCACACAAGTGAGATATAGAATATGGGCCCAATATGGGTTATTATGACCCAAAGAAGTATGTGTATTGTCACTTGTGGTGACTTTTTCTCTGAATCTGAAGTGTCTGATCGTTTCCATGTTTATCTCTGTGCAGTCCCGTTATGGCAGTGGGGAGAACAGTAAGAATGAAGTGCAGGGGGTGGTCCTGGACCAGGCTGGCACTGTGGTGCACCGGTTTGGAGGTTCATGGCACGAAGGCATCTTCTGCGACACTCTGCCCAATCCACAGTGCATCTGGAAGCCCAGTGAGTAACAGTATAATGACCAACTCCCTCAAAACAGTGCTGTAATCTTAAACATTCATGCTAATTATAATGTCTAACCCAGGGGTGTTCAGCCCTAAATGTGTTCAGCCCTAAATGTGTTCAGCCTTAAATGTGTTCAGCCTTGTCCACAAAGTGGCTGCAGGTTTTCACTCTGAATAAGCTGGAGCACACATGACTCCACTCCTTTAAACAGTGCTTCTCAACATTTGATCACCTGCTATGCTGGAGTGAAAACCTGCAGCCTCACCGGCCCTCTGCGGATAAGATTGGACACCCCTGGTCTAACCTATAAAACCACCAGTGCTGCAACAGCGAAAGCCTAAATACATCTAAACTTCTCTTCCATTCTACCTGGTTTCATTAAAGCCGCAGCTTAGTGAACCCAGTTTCCCTCCTCTGACCCCAAATGTGGTCGATCAGCCAACACAGGTTTAGTGTCTGAATTTTTGCCTCTTTAGTTTTACCGTTGAAGCCACAAGGCTAATGTAGCTAACCAACCCCACCATTTAGCCCAACAATTAGCATGGTGCTAACTGGCTAAATCTCTAACAGGCTTGATTATGTGGTTTCTGATACCATATGACACTGTTATCTATAACACGGACTAAATTCAGACTTCAGGATCTCCAGTACTGTTTCTAGCTACGCTCCACACGTTTGTCTGTTTTAGATTAGATTAGGTTCAACCTTGTTGTCATTGTGCAGAGTACAAGTACGAAGCCAATGAAATGCAGTTAGCATCCAGAAGTGCAAAATACAGTATTATTTACAGATAAGTGCAGGAAAAGTACCACAGCATGTGATGCTCCATCTTACAATGGCTGTGTTTACATGCAAAGATTTTTGCTAATCCGATTGAATACAATCGGATTACAGATTCAGACTGAGGTGTTTATATGCACACTCTGTTCAACAATTTGATGGAAAATCTTCGTTTACATGCGCACTACAAGTAATCCGATGCAAAATGACGCGCATGCGTGGAGTAGCGCTTAGAGTAAACGTTACCATGACAGCGATCATCACGTGAGGTCCAGTCCGCGTGAGATGAGTTTCCAGTTGACGCGCTGGTGTTTTAATTGCTTTAAAATGAGGTCAGATTCAGGAAAACGTGCTTCACATGTACTTATAAAGGAAGCGGCGAGAGGAAGACGTCGTGTTCTGAGACACATAAGCTGGACGTCCGTCCCACCGCCGTCTTTTAAAGACCAGAGCATAAACTTCGTCTCCTCTGCAGACCAGTTTCTGCTCCGCCATGTTGAACGGTATAAACGTTCGCCATGACGCGACGCACATGCGTAGAACATGCTTACACATTCCGATTGGGATGTAATCGGATTCAGGCGTTTACATGGCTATTATTCTTCTATTTAACGGATTATTTAGAGGTTTACCCACCTCGTTCAATCGGATAGAAATTGTATTCCGAATGGCCTCAATCGGGCTAGACTATTCCGATTGAGGTGTTTACATGGACGTGTTCTATTCCGATCGAGCTATTAGTCGGATTATTAACGGATTATCAGGCTGCATGTAAACGTGGCTAATGTCTCTACATGCGCCACTTTACCTGAAAATATATAAGCATAAATCATTTAGAAGATGAAGAATATTTAACTCCTTCATTTCATCAAGCATGTGGTTGGTTTCAGTGTCTCTGTGTTTCGTAACGCTGCTCGCTTAATTTCGGTACAGCAGTCTGTTTTCGCGCATGCTCAGACTGAGAAATCCGAAAGAAATCAGAGTAAGAGTTCACATGCACTGAGAAATCTGGTTACTGAGCTGATCTAAGAAATCAGTGTGCGGTTTATACAACCATTTGAATAATCGGATAACTGCAGCAATCAGATTATGATTGGATTATTGAGTGCATGTAAACACTCAATTTATACAGTTATGGACAGCGGAGAGTTACAGTATACGGTAACGCTTTATTTGGATAGTCCACTTTAGATGCTTTGTAGATCATTTACTTTCAAGCTACATTTAACTAATTATCTACAGAATTGGCCATAATTTTCTTTAACTCTAAACCTGCTCTAACCTTAACCTCAGCCCAACCCTCACCCTGATCCTAGCCCTAACCCTGGTCCAAATCCCAACTCTAACCCCACCACTGTTTAGAATCAACAGACTTTCCGCAGATAGTTTAACGTCTGTAGATGATCTATAGGGACTATGTGAGAGAGGTTTTGAACTCTGTTACAAAGATACAGCCAAACTGTTCCTTGATGACTTTGCCTCTTTCCTAACGTTCAGCGGTCTGATCTGCTCCTCAGTGTTCGTCTCTCTGCTAATCCATGATTTTGTGATGTTGATGTTATTCTCAGATGTTCAGCCTGAAGATCATTATGAGTATTATGGATTCTCTCGCTACGCCAGAGAGCTGAACGAGCTGACGCCTGAACTGAGGCCTCTGCTGCCCCCTACTGACACACGATTCCGCCCAGACCAGAGGTACGCCACCTTACAGCCTGTAAAACCCTTACATGCATTAAATGTTTTGAATAAAATAGCATTTGTTTTGTTTTTTAAATAATGTACCATATTAAATAGAAACCTGGTTAGTTCTTACAGTTTTTCCCACTGCAAAAACTGAAGAAATAAAACTCTACTTGGGGAAATGAAGCCAAAGGCCACGTCCATTTATCCTCTTTGTGATGTCGGCACTTAAACTGTTCAGGTGTTTAAACCACCTGTGGGCAGGAAGGGTTTCAAAATGTGCCTCTGATGATTGTTTTGTAAAAGGAAACTGTCAAATCATCATTTAAAACCTGCTCTTCATACCAAGGAAGACACGTTTATGAACGTGTTGAAGATAAATATACCACTTTATGATGTTTAAACCTTTTCAGGGATTTCTGATTTCCTCAAATATTCAAGACTGTTCCCAAGGCAGATATGTATTCTATATTCTTATTCTTATTTTCTCCCTCCGTTTCAGGCTTCTTGAAGAGGGTAAAGTGGCTGAGGCCGATAAGCGGAAGGATGAGGTGGAGGAGAAGCAGAGGGAGCGGAGGAAGGAACTGACCAAAAGAGGAGAGGAACACATCCCTCGCTTCTTCAGGTGAGGATCGTCTCCCACTGATTTAGGGTGTTATCCTCTCTTTGGGAAGCCTAAAGTTTTCGTGTTTAATGTTTTCATCCTCTGAAGAAACATTCAGGGTTAGGGAGACACACTGACATCTGACTGTATATTGATCATTTCTGTTTTTACTGTTTTGACCAATAAAAATATTTTAGATTCGCTTCAGTTGTTAAATTCGGTTCTCATTAAAAGTGAAGGGACGTCCAGAATAACACGGAACTGTGAATCTACAAAAAAAAGATTTGCTTAAACATCCAAAATGGTTTTATTTAAGCAAAATATATGTTTATATTGGTGTGTCCATTATTTACATCTCCAGGTCTGCCTCTGCCTCGAGCTGGCACTAACTCATAGAGCTGACATTAAAACTGAGGAAACGCCTGCTCCTCAGCCAAACACCCCTCAGTATTTGGTCATTTAATGTTACTGATCCTACAAATATATGTAATCCTGATTAATTGATTGATTGATTGTCAGCTCTGATTGTCAACTTCTACAGGTTCTTTCCATTGTGAAATGTTTCTTCAGATTGGTGGAGAATGTGTTGTATGTGGTTCTACATAGAACCTTTTTGCAAAGGCCATCTGTATAAAGCACCAAAAAGGTGCTACTGTTGGAACCCTTTTAGTGCTGTATAGAACCATACACAACACATTCTCCATCAATCTGAAGAACCATTTCACCATGCAGAGAACCAGTTAAGCATGTAAATGGTTTATTAAAGGTCCTTTGGAGAACCATCTCTTTTCAGATTGTATTGTTTCTGAACTCTGGTTTGTGCCCTTTGTCCTGTTAGCGGTTCACTGAAAGGACTAATTCATTTTATTAGTATATTAATATAGACTAAACCGTACACTTTGATGTTTTTAATGCTCGTTTTTTATTTGTGATAATAAATAATCCGACACTGGCCAAATGAGCGATTATTTTATTGAATATTAATTATTATTCATTCTTACAATCCGAAATGTGCACAGAAAATAATTTTCCTTCTCTTTCTTCAGGAAAACTCAGGATGACGCTGGAAGAGAGGTGTGGGTGAGCAATGGCACATACTGGAAGATCAGGGAAAATCCTGGATTTGCAAACACCACAAATCTGGACTTGTGGTGAAAACTGATCAATCAGGGACTCGACAATATTGAAATATTGATTTTCCCTACATTTAAACCCAAATGTACGTCCTATACCTCAATCTGTTCTATATAACCTCAGTATAACCTCATAAAGGTCTTAGAGTCCAGACAATACTGTAGTTTATTTTTTTTTAAAAAAAGCAATTAATGTCTTATCAGCCGTCTTAGACTGGACTTGACCCCGTGGAGAGTGGGGTGGGGGTTGTACTGGCACGTTAATGAACCCGTTTCCGTGGTGACTGTGCCAGCGAGGAGCAGGTGAACACTAGTTTGGATTAGATTCAGGCTCTGATGCTCCCCATGTGCCTTTCTCCTCATTATCCAGCGGGATGGAACTACAGTCCGTGTGAAGATGCCTGATAATTTAAGTAACTTTCTTTAAACTCTACCAACTGTTTTAGCCACTTTTTAAATTTAAAAAGTTTTTTAAATGTCATTTGATACACTTTAATCACTTTAATCAGCAGACAGACCGAGACTGAGTTAAAGGGAGAAGGGTTTTTTGGGGGTGAGGATGTTTTTGGTGTTCACGTTAAGGGCATATAACTCAAATACGAGTCATATCTGTGTATATGTGTTCAGTTTAAAGTCTATAGATGATGATTTAGCACGTTTGAACACGTGGAGCCCTTTCCCTCCTCCTCAGGATGACTGTTTTTGTAAATAATCCTCGTCTGCTGTCCGTTTCCTCCGGCCAGTTTTACTTTTCTTTTATCTGCCTCTCTGTGTAATAAGCCTTACGGCGACGCTGCTGGTAGTTGAAATGATGAAGACGTGTTTGTGTTGATGTTTCAGCTGTGCATGCCCGGGAAAAGAGAAACGGTGTGTAATTTTAGTGAAGAATGTAAAGGGGGGCCGTGTAGGATCTCTCTCTTGTATAAATGCCTTTGTAATCATATGTATTTAAATGAATAAAATGGCAAAAAACAATGCTGTCTATTCATTTCTTTTGCATTTTATTGCTATTTTTTTAAATCCATACCTATTGGATTACTATAAGGACTGGTGTTAACTGCGTATTGTTGTTTTTGAATGAGCTGCTGTTCAGAATTGTCTGCCTGGAAGCAAATAGAGACAATTTTATGCTCTTCTTTACAGCCTTTAGCTCCCTCAGGCGTGAGCTGTTCTCTTTAGAACGACCTAAAACCCGGCACTATGGATATAAACCCTAGTCTTCAAAGACATCAGAGAGAGCCTTTACCATTAAGTCCTTCACGTTATTGCTTAAAGGGGAATTCCACTTATCAATATTTCTGCATATCTCAGTATTTGAGATGTAAACAGTGATTTGACTGCAAAGAAAACACTTTTTCCACTATTTTCCATCATCAACATTCCATATAAACTCAGAAGACTCGTGTAGGTTCACTGGTGGTTCTGGATAGTAAATAAAATGTCTATATTTGTGTTGTAGTCATAGCGACCCCTGGTTCCTATCACCACCACTGTTAAGACATCTGAACCATTTCACACCAAAACAATCACTTTGTTAACATCTTACACACTGAATTATTTAATGTTTGAAAAATTGTTCCCCTTTAATCATTTGATCTAAGTTAGAGAAATGGGTCCCAGTGAACATGAACATAAACATTGTTGGCATTTTTTGCATCAACATAAAAAAAAAAACCCCTTTATTAGCTAGAATTAAGCAAAACTGTGCTTAAAGGGAATTCCACCAATTTTTCAAAATTTCTCAATATTCGGTCCTTGAGACGTAAACAGTCTGGATTAAAATACGTTTTAAGACAAAACTATCATAAAACAGTGTCTCAGTCATCAGGCAGTGAATTCATAACCATTTCATGTAGTAACTTTCTGTGAGGGAGCTTTTAGAGGTGGACACCAAACCCCTCTGGATGACTCCGTTTACATCATAAACATTGAGTTCTGTAGTAAATTTCCCATTGAGGCTCCCTCAGTTTCAGTGTGGATCCTCTTCAGTCGGAGCTGTTTGGCTGGTGCTGGTCGCATCATTATTGTAACGTTCTGTGTTCTGTTGTGTTCTAGCGCTGATGTTTCTCATGGTCATTATCACCTGAACCGCCCACTTCATCTGAGCACATTCTCAACTCTGACCTGCTCAAACCAGCACAGTGTTTTCAGCGTAACAGGATTTATGCTGCTTGTATCACGCATGACATCAAACGGTGTGTTAATATTAATGAGGTCATTTAAAGAGCTTACAGTGCAGATGAAAACAGACTACAGAGCTCTGCTGGGGACGTCCTGTAGAAAAACAATGTGTGGTCACACCATATTAACGCATAGGAACGAGATCCTAACGCATGGCCATGACTAAGTAAGGCATGGGAACAAGATAATAAAGTCATGGCTACGGCTTAGTAAGACGTGGGAACAAGATAATGAAGTCATGGCCAAGACTTAGTAAGGTGTGGAAATGAGATAATGAAGTCATGGCCATGACTTAGGACGGTGTGGGAACGAGATAATAAAGTCATGGCCATGACTTGGTAAGATGTGGAAACAAGATAATGAAGTAGTGGCCATAACTTAGGAAGGCATGGGAATGAGATAATAAAGCCATGGCCATGACTTGGTAAGGTGTGGAAACAAGATAATGAAGTAGTGGCCATGACTTAGGACAGCATGGGAATGAGATAATAAAGTCATGGCCATGACTTGGTAAGATGTGGAAACGAGATAATGAAGTCGTGGCCATGACTTAGGAAGGCATGGGAACGAGATAATAAAGTCATGGCCATGACTTGGTAAGGCATGGAAACAAGATAATGAAGTAGTGGCCATAACTTAGGAAGGCATGGGAACGAGATAATGAAGTCATGGCCATGGCTTAGTAAGGCATGGGAACGAGATAATAAGGTTGTGGCCAAGACTTAGTAAGGTGTAGGAACGAGATAATGAAGTCATGGCCATGGCTTAGTAAGGCGTGGGAATGAGATAATGAAGTCATAGCCACGACTTGGTAAGGCATGAGAACGAGATAATAAAGTTGTGACCAAGATTAACTAAGGTGAATGAGATCATGCCTTATTAAGCTGTGGTCAAAGGCTTAATTATGTCATGGCCACACCTTACCAAGTCATGGCCATGACTTCATGATCTCGTTCCCACACCTTACTAAGTCATGGCCACAACCTTATTATCTCGTTCCCACGCCCTACTAAGATGTAGCCATGACTTCATTATCTCATTCCCACTCCTTATTAAGTCATGGCCACAACCTTATTATCTTGTTCCCACGCCTTACTAAGTCATGGCCTCGCTTTGTTTTTTTTTATACAAGACGTCACCAGCAGGGCTCCATAAGAGACAGAAATATCCAACAGATTTACATATTAATTAATGTAACAATTACATTTACATATAATTATTACTGACATATTAATACATGTATCATATGAACTGTTTGATCAATACAGATGATAAGTCATGATTAAAGGACCCATATCCTTTACTTTATTTCCCCAATGAACCATTTCACACCAAACCACTCTGAATGACTCTGTTTACATCTCACACGCTGAACCAGGCAGGAAATTCTGAAAAATCCGTGGACTGTCCCTTTAACATGTTTGCAGCAGCTCCATCAGCTTTCGGATTCTTATTCAGAAAGTGGGAGTTCCATGAAGAGGATGCTGACCAATCGCAGCGCAGGAGGCGGAACACTGTCAGCCAATCGCAGCTCAGGGGGCGGGGCCGTCCGTATACGGGTGGGAAATAATCAGTCAGTGGTCCAGCAGAATTTCCCTCATCATGCCTGTGATCGTCTCAGCTGAGCTCCTGATCAGAGTGAGTACTGCAGGATTCACTGCTCACCTACTGCGACTTACTGCGTCACGGCTTTAAAACAATGAGATAAACAGTAACAGAAATAAGGCAAAACGCACCCGACATGAGGCGGGACGTTTCAGGCTGGTGCTGGTCCAGTCTGCATTATGGATGATCTGTAAATGATCAGTGTTTATTCGCTCCTCTGGTTCTGCGACGAAGCTGAAAATGGCTTCTTATTCGAATTTCCCGTTCCACCTTAAATGGTGCAGTGTAATTGCTGCACCATTTAAGGTGGAACGGGAAATCCGAATAAGTACCGGGCGAATTTAAGCGTGGTGTTTCTGCACGGTATGTCGGGGCTCTGGTTTGAGCATGTCGTGGTGTTTGTGCTCCTAAAGCTGTGAGATGAGCTGCTGGTGTTTTGTGTGAGATGCTCCTGATCAGAATACAGGGCGACCCGAGCGCGCATGCGCAGTGGGCGGGTCTTTGGCGCAGCACCACGTGGCTGAGCAGCAGAAACTCCAAATGGAGTAAAATTACAGTCTGAATGAAAAGTACAGGCTGCTCTGGTTCCTATATGATGAGAAAAGGGAGCTGAAAACTGATCTTAGATGATGTTTTACAAATGCTGTAAACATGCCAGTTTAAAAAAATTACAAAAAAGGATGCAACAATAAATTATGACTGTTTTAACACATTAAAAGTACCAGAAAAATGAAGGATATGGGCCCTTTAAGCACGACTTATCATCTAAATAGTTGATAGAGTGAATATGATAAATGTATTATCATCTCTGTTAGATATTTCTCTCTAGTTTCTGCCAAAATATTACATTTATATTGTTCTGTCTCTGTATTCATCTGCACTATAAGCTCTGTAAGGGGAAATCCACCATTCTTTTCAAAATTTCCTGCGTAACTCAGTGTGTGAGGTGTAAACAGAGTGATTCAGGGTGGTTTGGTGTGAAATGGTTCAGATGTCTTTACAGTGGTGGTGATAGGAACCAGGGGTCGCCATGACTACAACACATATATAGACATTTTATTTACTATCCAGAACCACCAGTGAACCTACACGAGTCTTCTGAGTTTATATGGAATGTTGATGATGGGAAAATAGTGGAAAATCTGAAATAATTAGTTTTCTCCCTGCCATGAATGGATTTTTAGGCCAAAATCTTCTCAGAACTATCATAAAACAGTGTCTCAGTCATCAGGCAGTGAATTCATAACCATTTCATGTAGGAACTTTCTGTGAGGGAGCTTTTAGAGGTGGACGTCTGGTTCCTATCACCACCACTGTGAACAGTTCTGACTCTGTAAGTTTCTCTAGAACAGAGCGTTTCACACCAAACCACTCTGAACCTGTTTACATCTTAACCAGTTTGGAAATTTTGAAAAATCTCTGGATTTCCCCTTTAGCAAATGGAACTGTTCGACCAAAACAGCTGACAGTGGAGGTTATGGAAAAATCAAATCATATTCTGCAGATCAATAATAGCTGTGTGAGTGACCGCAGCCCAAAGCTTCCTTTAAGTGAGCTAATGGCTGTGGAGCCCTTTAAGCTGCATTAAGAGACCAGCTTTTCGATTAATGCAGTTATTTACACCGAACCAAAGAGGCTGTTTGACTTAAAGGGACACTCCACCCAAAATGAAAAACTACAGCAGTGCCACTGTAGTCTCTTACATGAGATTTCACAGCGGTCATAAAATGTCATTTCTGCACTCCCACAGTTGAGCTATGCATTTTTTCTTCAGTAATGTTGAGATATGGAATATATTTTGACGGAAAATGTGTAAAATTTACAAAAACTGGATTTCCGTCTTCGTAAGTGAGCAAGCAAACATTTATAAAAGTGTTTTTATTGTGTTGAAATGATGTTTTTGGCTGTGGCAGATGGATACAATTGCATAGATGTCAGTCTCCAAACTAAAAATTCACTGATACCCATTCAAAATCCTTCTAAAGTTACAATCAGTAGCAACTACAGCTTTTTACACAGTATTGATCTGCTCTACTGTGATGTAGTTGCCTGGTAATCATACTAATTACTTCATGCAGTAGTTTTATTTACACTTGATTTGAATGATAACGTATGTAGACGAGGGCGAATCCTGTTTCTGTCACACTGTGGAGCCTTTTAGGCCACAGAGCGCTGCAGGGCAGAGCGGAGACTGTATGATGATGGAGGACATTAATATATGGATTAGCCATGGGACGTTAACATATGGACATTTACAGGCTTGGAGAACAGCGAGACCAATTAAAGGGCCCATATCCTACATTTTTCTTGTATTTTATTATTTGTTTCCTCCTGAGATCTCTTTTGATGTCTATGTGGGGTTTTTGCCACAATTAATTTTGACATCAAAGGGCTTTTAAGCCTATGAAATGCAAATGTGCTGTGCTCTGATTGGCTGCACCTCTTTCAAAAAGCAGTCCAGACAAAAACACTTATAATGTCAGTGAGAGTGGGTGGGGCTAAACTGCTGTAGGCTGAATTAAATAAAATATTTTTAAAAATGTGCTGTTTTTTGTGACATCAGAAAAAAATAAAACAGGCTGTTTTTGTAGCTCGGTTTCCATGTTTGGACTGAACGGACTGAGGAGTGAACGGTACGTTTGGAACCTCAACAACAAACTCTTCAAAAAGAGTGAGGATGTTTGGTTTTCCATGATATGGGCTCTTTAATGCGCTCCTTCGTTAGCGTATGATAAACAGTGTGCCCACACATTTTAGCCCCTCATGTCGGATTACATGCCTGGCTTCTTTGCCAGCAGTGCAGATGTAGAGCATGAAATCATCATTATACTGAATACAGAGCACATATGGAAATGAGTAATACGACCTCCGCACGTTTTTATTATAACACAAATAGACCAAGAGGAAAGTCTTTGAAAAAGCCAATGGAAATTTCATATGATATGTTTCATATTGTAAAACAGTTCAGGAGCCGTTTTACAGAAACATCCTATCTTTAGTCCTAAGTTAAGATCTGACAGGTCAAGTTAACTCCCTGTTTCTTTATCTCAATTTTAATAACAAAGCAGCAACATAGATCTGTGTTTTCTTATTTAGTTGCGGAAAAAGGGTCTTTTACTTTCAAAGGACAAAAACTTTGACATCACATTATTAGGAATTCTTATTATGATGTTGTTATTACTATACATTCCAAATACCAATTGAAATTGTATTAATTTCCAAATTTTGGAATATTATGTCTTTAGAAAAAAATTTGATTTTATGGTGCTTTTTTTTTAGATTTTATGGTGCGATGGTACGATTGCACAGTGTTACCATATGGCAACAATTTACCAAATACCCCACTTATATAAAATACATTTTTTTTCAAATATTTTTCATTATTTAAGCAATTTTAATTAACAAAAACACATGAAAACATTTTTATCATCTTTAAACAATAATTCATGCAATAGAGGGTTAAGATATTACAGAAGCAAATCTGATCTTAATTTAGGAATCTTATTTCATCTTACAGCATCTTATCTCCAGTTAAGAAATCTTAACTTACTCAATCAGAGTCAACAATCAGCTGTCATGTCTGTTTCCTAGCAACCGACCATAAACACACAGCTGAAACGTAAACACGTCATCAAAATAATGTTAAAATGTGAGTTAAGCTGCTGTTACTGATGTAAAAAAGGTCATAACTGAACTGAAGTGTGATAAACTGTAAGTAGTGAATACTGTGAGAGCGCCCCCTGCTGTTTATCAGAGCATCGCCTCTCCCCAGTTTCAGTCTCCATTTCCCAAACGCTTTAGCCAAGCGCGCTAACGTTACTCCTCCTAATAAACAGACACACGTTCAGCTCCGTCTCCTCATTATTCACCACCATCACTGTAATATTTCATCATCAACATTAACACACGAAGGTGATCAGAGGGGCGGTGGAGATCGAGTCTGCAGCATCTGAGATCTTTAAAACGCAGAGTTAGAAAAGAAAATCATCTCACAGTGAAAGCAGCGTTTTACAGTAGGAATAAATGGAGCTCATTATGCTGGTAGTGAACTATGCTGCTGACACAGCTGCCTAAAAACCATAGAAACGGACCTTAAACAGAAGTGAGGACCCTGTTGGGGTTCCAACAGGGTCCTCCCCTGTTGGGGAGACCAAACAGATCAGATTTCATCTTAGTTTGGTGTTGTATTAGACGTGTGCCTGCGTTCTGTGGCAAGTTTCATATGTTACTAACTGAAAATCACACAGCTGCTCACATCATAGTCAAAGTTACAAGATTTTTTATTGGGTTATGGCGAATTGTTTGCTTAGTTCATGAGATACTTTGGGATTGTGGGAGCAGCAGTGGGATTATGGGAGCAGCAGTGGGCTTATGGGAGCAGCAGTGGGCTTATGGGAGCAGCAGTGGGATTATGGGAGCAGCAGTGGGATTATGGGAGCAGCAGTGGGCTTATGGGAGCAGCAGTGGGCTTATGGGAGCAGCAGTGGGATTATGGGAGCAGCAGTGGACTGAGGCAGGCGATGAGAGCCAATATAAATTTCAGAATTTTAAATAAGTCAATTTTACATGAAATTATGTAACAGAAGAATTACATAAAGAAACCTGCCACCAGTAAACAAAAGGAACAGCATGAATTAAACACCAATTACAGCAGCAGAGTTTCTCCCGTTTGCCTTTTCAGTATGCATTTTACATGTATTCTGAATACATAACTCTTATTTACTGTAGTGGAATATGTTACTAATACATTTAGGACGGTGTGATTGTGTCCTGTATCAGCGTCCTGAGTCCTGAGAGATGGAGTCGGTCCTGCGGGGGGAGCTGGGGCTCAGGGCCGCTTTCAGAGAGGAGCTGAGAGAGGACGGCTGTGGGAACGGATGGCCCTCCTGCCCTCTTTCTGCAGACATGCATCCGGCGTCGCACTTCGCTCTGGCCGCTGCGTACCACGACATCAAACTGCGGCTGGCCAGTCTGGAGCGAGAGAACAGCAGCATCAAGAGGAAACTGAAGAGCTACGAGATCAAAGTGAGACAGCTTTCTGCTTCCATTAAGATCACAGCCTTTTCCCACTGGATTAGGGGGAATATGTGCTGGCAGTTGTTATAAGCAGGACACAGTCAAAAGTTTGGGTGCCTGTAGTCAAATTATGCTTTATTTATTATTTGCTGAATTTAAGAAATAAAACATAAAATGTGGCCTGTGGCCTTCCTCCCATTGACCACTGGGATAGGCTCCAGCACCCCCCCGCGACCCCGAAGAATAAGTGGTTTCAGAGAGAAATGTGGCCTGTGATAAACTTACAGTACATTTTATATATTACGTTTTTTTTCTAAACGTTAAATAAATAGAAATGCGCAGTGCAGAGAAGTGCCATGTTTATGTTTGTTCCCTGTAGACCAGGGGTCTCAAAGTGCGTAGGTTCACACGGCCCGTCACATTTGACGTTTGCAATGTATCCGTAAATCTGGCCCATTTTTACCCGGCTCAGTATTTATAATTAATGGCTGAATTTGCTTCCCAAACCACACACTGTGTCTGGTCACCCAACTTAAGTGCTATAAATCAGCTCAGCCTGATGATCACGATGTTAAAGCAGAAACAGCGCTGCGTGTGAGAGAAACCATTCAAACGTAGTGAACACACTAGGGGGCAGTGAGCACACTTGCCTGGAGCAGTAGGCAGCCCTATCCACAGCGCCCAGGGAGCAGTTGGGGGTTAGGTGCCTTGTTCAAAGGCACTTCAGTCACATACTGTCGGCTCAGGGGATCGAACCGGTGACCTTCCGATAATAATAATAATAATAATAATAATAATAATAGACTAAGTGTTATATTTTCACTTGGAAAATCAACAAAGTATGTTCAGACTGTAGTTTGACTGTAGTGACTGTGACTGTAGTTCACTGTTGCTTGAAAGTCTGTGAACCCTTTGGAATTTTCTATATTTCTGCGTAAATTTGATCTAAAATTTCTTCAGGTTTTCACACAAGTCCTAATAGTAGATAAAGAGAACCAAATTAAACAAATGAGACAAAAATATTACACTTGGTCGTTTATTTATTGAGGAAAATGATCCAATATTACTGATCTGTGAAAGGCAAAAGTATGTGAACCTTTCGCACCACTGTATCTGCTCTTTTCAGTGCTGATGTGTTTCTCTCAGTTCCCTGTGATCAGTGAGTTTGCGGAGGAGCGGAGTGGGTGCTGCTCGTGTGAACCCAAAGAGACCAAACTGATCCAGACAGAAAGCAGCAGCAGCCTGCACCAGAGAATCAGCTCACTCACACAGGAGGTACTTACAGCACCAGTACACACAACACCAGTACACACAGCACCAGCACATACAGCACCAGTACATACAGCACCAGTACATACAGCACCAGTACACACAGCACCAGCACATACAGCATCAGTACACACAACACCAGTACATACAGCACCAGTACACACAGCACCAGCACACACAGCACCAGCACATACAGCACCAGTACACACAGCACCAGCACACACAGCACCAGCACATACAGCACCAGTACACACAGCACCAGTACACACAGCACCCGCACATACAGCACCAGTACACACAGCACCAGCACATACAGCACCAGTACACACAGCACCAGCACATACAGCACCAGTACACACAGCACCAGCACATACAGCACCAGTACATACAGCACCAGTACATACAGCACCAGTACACACAGCACCAGCACACGCAGCACCAGTACATACAATACCAGCACACGCAGCACCAGTACATACAACACCAGTACACACAACACCAGTACACACAACACCAGTACATACAGCACCAGTACACACAGAACCAGTACATACAGAACCAGTACAGACAGCACCAGTACATACAGCACCAGTACATACAGCACCAGTACACACAGCACCTCTTTCGTACTGGGCTCGGTGACTCTTATAAAATTTCATCTCCTTCAGCTGCAGAAGAGTAAAGCTCACGAGGAGCGCCTGGAGGAGGTGATTAAAGCGTACGAGAAGATCCATTTGGAGAAAAGTAACGTACAGAAGGAGCTGGACAGCATGGTGAGAATTTATTCATGGGTATATATTGGTGGATATTTATTGTTTATAGTTAAATATTACTGCTCCTGTAAATATTATACTATAATGTTTTACTATTAAAATTACTTTACTGTGCTATTATACTATACTATATTGTACTGTGAAGTTATGTTATGTTATACTATACTGTCATACTATATTTATTGTGTACTTGTGTACTAATTATTATGTAATAATATTATTACTTTATATGTAATGCAGCATAAAAAGCTCCCCAAACAAAAATTAGTCACCTTGCGTGTTTTGGGTGGTAGTAACTTCAGGCTCCTGCAGATGGCGCTGCACGAGGATGATGGGGCTATAAATACCTGCGGGGTGTGCAACGGGATTCATAGATTGAGAAAAGGTGGTACAGTGCAGTGAATGTCTCGTTCGATGTGTGGAAAATGAGTCGCAAAGCAGATGTTAATGAGTGGCAAAAAGGAGTGATTGTATTTGGGCCAAAGGCCACAGTGTGAAGGAAGTAGCTGAATATGCAGGTGTATCAAAGCGTCCGGTCATACGGGTCGACCAGCAGAGGCAGAAATCCCAGCCTACAGGAAATTCTCCCAGAATTGTGGCCAAAAGATGAAACTGACGGTCAGGGACCGCCGGCGTGTTTCACAGCTTGTGAATAAAAATCGTTTCGCTTCCAGGCAGGAATTGCTTCTAGATGTCAACGCAGGTTCTTCACAACCAATTTCTGAAAGAACCTCCGCAGGGAACCGCATACCATGAACATATGGAGCTGAGTGGCACACAGGAGGCCTTCGCTCACTTCTGCTCACAAAGTTGCTGGTCACAGTGGATGAAGAGGCACAAACACTGGACTGTTCATGACTGGAAACGTGTTATCTGGTCAGATGACTCTGTGTTTTTGTGTGTGAATGATCGTGTGTGAATCGTGTTCATCGTAGACCTCAGGAAGCCTCAGTGAGGACTGTGTGCAGGTGTGGTTCAATCTGGAGGAGCTCTGTGATGATCTGGGGGTGTTTTAATTACACAGAAATGGGTCGTTTGGTTGAGGTGACAGTAAATCTGAACCACTGGCCCACATAATTCCCCAGATCTGAATGCCTTTGAAAATCTGTGGGAGACCTGGAACAGCGAGTAAGACGCCAGTTGTCTCTGAGCTGATGAGGATCTCTGTGTTTGTGTCTCTGAGCTGATGGGATCTCTGTGTTTGTGTCTCTGAGCTGATGAGGGTCTCTGTGTCTGTGTCTCTGAGCTGATGAGGGTCTCTGTGTCTGTCTCTGAGCTGATGAGGGTCTCTGTGTTTGTGTCTCTGAGCTGATGAGGGTCTCTGTGTCTGTCTCTGAGCTGATGAGGGTCTCTGTGTGTGTGTCTCTGAGCTGATGAGGGTCTCTATGTTTGTGTCTCTGAGCTGATGAGGGTCTCTGTGTCTGTCTCTGAGCTGATGAGGGTCTCTGTGTGTGTGTCTCTGAGCTGATGAGGGTCTCTGTGTCTGTCTCTGAGCTGATGAGGGTCTCTGTGTGTGTGTCTCTGAGCTGATGAGGGTCTCTGTGTTTGTGTCTCTGAGCTGATGAGGGTCTCTGTGTCTGTCTCTGAGCTGATGAGGGTCTCTGTGTGTGTGTCTCTGAGCTGATGAGGGTCTCTGTGTTTGTGTCTCTGAGCTGATGAGGGTCTCTGTGTCTGTCTCTGAGCTGATGAGGGTCTCTGTGTGTGTGTCTCTGAGCTGATGAGGGTCTCTGTGTTTGTGTCTCTGAGCTGATGAGGGTCTCTGTGTTTGTGTCTCTGAGCTGATGAGGGTCTCTGTGTCTGTCTCTGAGCTGATGAGGGTCTCTGTGTGTGTGTCTCTGAGCTGATGAGGGTCTCTGTGTCTGTCTCTGAGCTGATGAGGGTCTCTGTCTGTGTCTCTGAGCTGATGAGGGTCTCTCTGTTTGTGTCTCTGAGCTGATGAGGGTCTCTGTGTTTGTGTCTCTTACCTGATGAGGGTCTCTGTGTCTGTCTCTGAGCTGATGAGGGTCTCTGTGTTTGTGTCTCTGACCTGATGAGGGTCTCTGTGTGTGTCTCTGAGCTGATGAGGGTCTCTGTGTGTGTCTCTGAGCTGATGAGGGTCTCTGTGTGTGTCTCTCAGCTGATGAGGGTCTCTTTGTGTGTCTCTGAGCTGATGAGGGTCTTTGTTTGTGTCTCTGAGCTGATGAGGGTCTCTGTGTGTGTCTCTGAGCTGATGAGGGTCTCTGTGTTTGTGTCTCTGAGCTGATGAGGGTCTCTGTGTGTGTCTCTGAGCTGATGAGGGTCTCTGTTTGTGACTCTGAGCTGATGAGGGTCTCTGTGTGTGTCTCTGAGCTGATGAGGGTCTCTGTGTGTGTGTCTCTGAGCTGATGAGGGTCTCTGTGTCTGTCTCTGAGCTGATGAGGGTCTCTGTGTGTGTGTCTGAGCTGAGGAGGGTCTCTGTGTTTGTGTCTCTGAGCTGATGAGGGTCTCTGTTTGTGTCTCTGAGCTGATGAGGTCTCTGTGTTTGTGTCTCTGAATTGATGAGGGTCTCTCTGTTTGTGTCTCTGAGCTGATGAGGGTCTCTGTGTTTGTGTCTCTGACCTGATGAGGGTCTCTGTGTCTGTCTCTGAGCTGATGAGGGTCTCTGTTTTTGTGTCTCTGACCTGATGAGGGTCTCTGTGTGTGTCTCTGAGCTGATGAGGGTCTTTGTTTGTGTCTCTGAGCTGATGAGGGTCTCTGTTTGTGTCTCTGAGCTGATGAGGGTCTCTGTGTTTGTGTCTCTGAACTGATGAGGGTCTCTCTGTTTGTGTCTCTGAGCTGATGAGGGTCTCTGTGTTTGTGTCTCTGACCTGATGAGGGTCTCTGTGTCTGTCTCTGAGCTGATGAGGGTCTCTGTTTGTGTCTCTGAGCTGATGAGGGTCTCTGTGTGTGTCTCTGAGCTGATGAGGGTCTCTGTGTGTGTCTCTCAGCTGATGAGGGTCTCTGTGTGTGTCTCTGAGCTGATGAGGGTCTTTGTGTGTGTCTCTGAGCTGATGAGGGTCTCTGTGTGTGTCTCTGAGCTGATGAGGGTCTCTGTGTGTGTCTCTGAGCTGATGAGGGTCTTTGTTTGTGTCTCTGAGCTGATGAGGGTCTCTGTGTGTGTCTCTGAGCTGATGAGGGTCTCTGTGTGTGTGTCTCTGAGCTGATGAGGGTCTCTGTGTTTGTGTCTCTGAGCTGATGAGGGTCTCCGTGTTTGTGTCTCTCAGCTGATGAGGGTCTCTGTGTGTGTCTCTGAGCTGAGGAGGGTCTCTGTGTCTGTGTCTCTGAGCTGATGAGGGTCTCTGTGTGTGTCTCTGAGCTGATGAGGGTCTCTGTGTGTGTCTCTCAGCTGATGAGGGTCTCTGTGTGTGTCTCTGAGCTGATGAGGGTCTCTGTGTTTGTGTCTCTGAGCTGATGAGGGTCTCTGTGTGTGTCTCTCAGCTGATGAGGGTCTCCGTGTTTGTGTCTCTGAGCTGATGAGGGTCTCTGTGTGTGTCTCTGAGCTGATGAGGGTCTCTGTTTGTGACTCTGAGCTGATGAGGGTCTCTGTGTGTGTCTCTGAGCTGATGAGGGTCTCTGTTTGTGACTCTGAGCTGATGAGGGTCTCTGTGTCTGTCTCTGAGCTGATGAGGGTCTCTGTGTGTGTGTCTGAGCTGAGGAGGGTCTCTGTGTTTGTGTCTCTGAGCTGATGAGGGTCTCTGTTTGTGTCTCTGAGCTGATGAGGGTCTCTGTGTTTGTGTCTCTGAATTGATGAGGGTCTCTCTGTTTGTGTCTCTGAGCTGATGAGGGTCTCTGTGTTTGTGTCTCTGACCTGATGAGGGTCTCTGTGTGTGTCTCTGAGCTGATGAGGGTCTTTGTTTGTGTCTCTGAGCTGATGAGGGTCTCTGTTTGTGTCTCTGAGCTGATGAGGGTCTTTGTTTGTGTCTCTGAGCTGATGAGGGTCTCTGTTTGTGTCTCTGAGCTGATGAGGGTCTCTGTGTTTGTGTCTCTGAACTGATGAGGGTCTCTCTGTTTGTGTCTCTGAGCTGATGAGGGTCTCTGTGTTTGTGTCTCTGACCTGATGAGGGTCTCTGTGTCTGTCTCTGAGCTGATGAGGGTCTCTGTTTGTGTCTCTGAGCTGATGAGGGTCTCTGTGTTTGTGTCTCTGAGCTGATGAGGGTCTCTGTGTGTGTCTCTCAGCTGATGAGGGTCTCTGTGTGTGTCTCTGAGCTGATGAGGGTCTTTGTTTGTGTCTCTGAGCTGATGAGGGTCTCTGTGTGTGTCTCTGAGCTGATGAGGGTCTCTGTGTGTGTCTCTGAGCTGATGAGGGTCTCTGTGTTTGTGTCTCTGAGCTGATGAGGGTCTTTGTTTGTGTCTCTGAGCTGATGAGGGTCTCTGTGTGTGTCTCTGAGCTGATGAGGGTCTCTGTGTGTGTGTCTCTGAGCTGATGAGGGTCTCTGTGTTTGTGTCTCTGAGCTGATGAGGGTCTCCGTGTTTGTGTCTCTCAGCTGATGAGGGTCTCTGTGTGTGTCTCTGAGCTGAGGAGGGTCTCTGTGTCTGTGTCTCTGAGCTGATGAGGGTCTCTGTGTGTGTCTCTGAGCTGATGAGGGTCTCTGTGTGTGTCTCTGAGCTGATGAGGGTCTCTGTGTGTGTCTCTCAGCTGATGAGGGTCTCTGTGTGTGTCTCTGAGCTGATGAGGGTCTCTGTGTTTGTGTCTCTGAGCTGATGAGGGTCTCTGTGTGTGTCTCTCAGCTGATGAGGGTCTCCGTGTTTGTGTCTCTGAGCTGATGAGGGTCTCTGTGTGTGTCTCTGAGCTGATGAGGGTCTCTGTTTGTGACTCTGAGCTGATGAGGGTCTCTGTGTGTGTCTCTGAGCTGATGAGGGTCTCTGTTTGTGACTCTGAGCTGATGAGGGTCTCTGTGTCTGTCTCTGAGCTGATGAGGGTCTCTGTTTGTGACTCTGAGCTGATGAGGGTCTCTGTGCGTGTTTGGGTGTAGACCACTCTGGCGGAGCAGCATGTGAAGAGGATCCGTGAGTTGGAGTCGGCTCTGAGACAGAGAGAAACGCTGCTGCAGAAGAAAAGCTTCAGAGTGAGCAGCGGGAGAGAAACTACACACCCACATCCACATCCTCACCCGCACCTGCGCAGCAAAGACCCGCACCTCCTCCACCTCCACAACAGCCTGGACGTTCCCGGCGGTAAAACCACACCCACACTTTCATCAGCATGAAATAACTTTACTCACTTAGCAATGTTTAAAAATAATACCTTTACTTACGTACACTCTTAAAAAAGAGGGTTCTTCAAGGGTTCTTTAGTGAAGATAGTGGTTCTACGTAGAACCATGAACACTCAAAGAACCATTTGCATGCTTAAATGGTTCTTTGCATGGTGAAATGGTTCTTCATATTGATGGTTCCGCTATATATGTATAGGGTTCTGCTATTGTTACAAGCTTGACAGTGTAATACAGAAGAACCCTTTTGGTGCTATATAGAACCATATACAGCACATTCTCCATCAATCTGAAGATTTTTCACCGTGTAAAGAACCCTTTAAAGATGCAAATAGCTTTATATAGAACCATCTTTGCTAAAGAACCCTTAAGGAATCGTGTTTTAAGAGTGTTGGATTGTATAAAAATAATAACTTTACTCAGGCAGCATTGCATAAAATTAAGAATAGCTTTATTTATGTAGCATTTTATAATGATAGTGGTCTTATTAATACAGTCAAGTCAAATTCCATGTTTTGTTGATTTTCTAAGAGTAAATAAGTTTGCACATATTCTACAGAGGCACTTAAATATGGCATTTTCTGCACATTTTTCTGCACAATTTCTATTTACTGTCTATGTTAGAACCACTATTTATGATCTATTTACTGAGTTTACTGTATTGGAAACTCACCATATCTTGTTATGTATATTTAATGTTAAAACATGATAAATTCAGTCAATAAACAGTAACTGTGCATTAAAATGTGCAGAAGTGTCTAACAGTATAAGTGCATGTATACCAATATATTTACACAATGCAGCAGCAGTGCCACACTTAAATAATACTATCAAAACTATGAATATGATGATTTTTATTCAAATTTCAGTCACCGGACTGAATCCAGATTAACAGGACTGATTATGCTGTCTTTGTAATGAAATCTTTAGTTTCATGTACTCCATCATATGCCTCATATATAGAAAAGGAGCATGATAACAAAATATACCACGATAATGACAGAATATCGTCGTACTGGGGACCACAGTACATTGTACATTACAGTACTTTGTAATGAAATTATGAAATGCAGCTCAAAATGCTTCACAGGAAAAGGTTCACAAAAACAGTTTTACAAGGGACGAAGTAAAACTTATCAAGCCTATAAAAATAGTTCAGATACAAAAGAAGACAATATTCAGTAAATTCTATTTTTATAAGTTCAAAAGTTTTTATTTTGTACTGTCAGCATAATTACAGTACATTCATAATATATGAAAGGAAGGAAAACAATGTAAGAAAATAATATTATTATAAATGCTCCTCAGGAAATCCTCTTATCAGAGTGTATATATATTGACACCAGCACCTACTCGGAGGAACAAAATCTAATTCAGATTGTAATTCAGATTCAGATTTAGATTTTCAGTGAGATTCAGACTGTGATTCAAATTCAGATTCAGATTCAGATTTTCAGTGAGATTCAGACTGTGATTCAAATTCAGATTCAGATTCAGATTTTCAGTGAGATTCAGACTGTGATTCAAATTCAGATTCAGATTCAGATTTTCAGTGAGATTCAGACTGTGATTCAAATTCAGATTCAGATTCAGATTTTCAGTGAGATTCAGACTGTGATTCAAATTCAGATTTAGATTTTCAGTGAGATTCAGACTGTGATTCAAATTCAGATTTAGATTTTCAGTGAGATTCAGACTGTGATTTAGATTGAGATTTAGACTGTGATTCAGATTGTGATTTAGATTGAAAATCAGATTGAGATTCAGTTTATGATTCAGGTTGTGATTCAGATTCAGATTTTGATTTAGATTGCAATTTAGATTGAGACACAGATGGTGATTCAGACTTTGGGTTAAATTCAGATTGGTATTCAGATTGTGATTTAGATTGTGATTCAGATTGCTATTCAGATTGAGATTCAGACTGAGATTCAGATTGTGATTTAGACTGTGATTTAAATTGAGATTCATATTGTGATTCAGAATGTGACTCAGATTATGATTCAGATTGTGATTCAGAATGTGATTCAGATTGCGATTTAGATTGTGATTCAGATTGAGACTTAGATTATGATTCAGACTGGGATCCAGATTCAGATAATGATTCAGATTCTAAATTCTGTTTACTCCACTGTCTCTGTGTTTCAGCGTTGGACTGTCCCGGTCCGACCCTGCAGAGCTCCCGTAGTCTGGATGCTCTCACTGACCTGAAGGTGCAGCGTCTGGAGGCGGAGCTAGAGGGGGCATGGCAGGAAGCACAGGGGGCATGGCAGAGGGAGGCGGAGCTAAGGGCGAAGCTTCAGCATTTACAGGACGAGATCAGACACTTACAGGAGAAACAAAGAGAGGTGCTCATACATATTCACACTGTACACACATGCAGAGCTGATGAAAGCATGTTTTAATTGATCAGTGACAGATACATTAATACTGATCCATTTGAAACTATTTTATTTTGATTATTTTACTCCATTATGCTCCGATGAACTATTTTAAAGGGGCTGAATTCTATGTGCTGTTAATGTATTTGTTTTTCTTTCTCTGTGGTCCTTTTTTTGTATTTTGGTGGTTGTATGTAATAATAACCATGTCCATTTTCCAAACTCTCTTTATCCCTTACAATTAATCAGGCTGTTTTTGTTACTGTGCCTTTAAAGGGGAAAATTCCTGCATACTTAACTGGTTAAGATGTAAACAGAGTCGTTCAGAGTGGTTTGGTGTGAAACGCTCTGTTCTAGAGAAACTTACAGAGTCAGAATTGTTCACAGTGGTGGTGATAGGAACCAGACGTCCACCTCTAAAAGCTCCCTCACAGAAAGTTCCTACATGAAATGGTTATGAATTCACTGCCTGATGACTGAGACACTGTTTTATGGTTTTAGCCTTAAAATCCATTCATGGTGGAGGGATACATATGCAGGGCGCTGTGAGGCAAAATAGTCCCCAAAGAAAATTATTATTATTATAGGAATTATTTAATATATAATTATATAATATAAGAATTATTTCAGATTTTCCACTATTTTCCATCATTAACATTCCATATAAACTCAGAAGACTCGTGTAGGTTCACTGGTGGTTCTGGATAGTAAATAAAATGTCTATATTTGTGTTGTAGTCATGGCGACCCCTGGTTCCTATCAGCACCACTGTAAAGAAATCTCAAACACTCAATTATGTGGGAATTTTGAAAAATCTGTGGAATTCCCTTTAAGTCTGATGTATGTAAGTGAGCGTTTTTCTGATTGGCTCCCCTGTGTTGTGTCTCATTCACAAAGCAGTCCAGGCTGAAACGTTCCTTATAACTTCAGTGTGAGTGGGCGGGGCTAAACTGCTCTAGGCTGAATAGCTGGATAAATGTATATGTATACGTAACAGATACTCAGTATTAAAGGACTCCGATTGGATGGGGGGCGGAAACACAGTGCACACAGTGACACTGAAATATGTAGATTAATCCAGTCATCACTGTATTACAGTACAGCACAAACAGCTCTACAGTGATTTCACTACAGCCCATCCTTTAACTCTGATAGAGATTCAAATCATAGGATCCAGAATAACTGCTTCAGCGGGGACAGAGTCAAAATATGGACAAGCAGAAAAGAACTGGACTGTAATCCTCCTCTACAGTGAGTTATTTTGCTTTTCTGTAGTAGTTATTAATCCTCTGCTGTACTGCAGGAGCTGGACGTTCCCTGTGACCACTGCAATGTGGAGTGGATCAAGAAAGCAGGAGATGAACAGTGAGTGACCACTAAAGCCTTACTGATCTGATCTGACGGTAGTGATTCAATTATATACTAGGTACTAGCTGCTCACAGCATAACAGGAGGTTCAGCACATGACGTACTGGCATTACACCACAGAGTTCCCAACAATAACGTTTAATGCGGGTAACATTAAATGCAGATATTTTAGTGCAGTAACCCAGCGTGACTCAAACATTCTGCTCTTCTAGAGTACATTAAATGTATCAGCACATATCAGACTGAAAAATCAAACGTGAACATCTGTCCAATATGTTTATCATCTTTGATACCGATACGATTCAGGTGTCATCATGCATCCCTGATCAATACATTCTAGCTTTCTAAATTTGAAGATTTCAGTTACTGATATAGCAAAATTAGTTCATTTATTTGACAGTATTTTTTTAAAAATGCTTTATAAATGGAGTCCTGTCTTCTGTCCTGCAGGGTGAATCTGGCTCTGGCCTACACGGAGCTGACGGAGGAACTGGGCCGAATCCGCAGCCTGACCTCAGAACAGAGTGAGATACTGAGACAGAAACGAAACCCACCAGAGCAGAAAAGCCCCGGTAAACCCCGTCCAACCTTCACATTTACTCACAATTACAGTGTGGACCATAACAGGCATGTTAGATCTGATTCTGAATTTAATACACATAAAACTTTTTGTGCAAAATAAACAAGGCTGGTTGCAGTATGTGTGCGGATTTCTCACTTGGCTCTTATGCAGATTCAACACAAACTTCCTTCTGTGAATAGAGTTATTATTGTTCCTGAGCTTGAAACACAAGTTTAAGAGTGAGATTCACACCAGCGTTTTCACTTCACCAGCTTTCATAACTAAGGATACAGGAACAGTAGAAACTGCATTAGCTGCTGTTTGTAGCTACAGCAAAACATCAGCATGTCTGAGAGACTGAAAACACCTCGACTATAAGCCAGTAATCACTGGTGTCGGAACAAAACCTCGTATCTCCAAAAGGGTAACTTTACAGGAGAAGGATAAGTCACCCTTACCTTTTAATGTAAGTTAATGGAGGAATTTTTTATTCGGAGTCATTTTTGACGATTTCTGTTGGTCCGTTCATCATAAACATCAGACACAGTGTAAAGGGCAGCTAGCGGTTTCACATTATGTCAAAAAATGAGAACTGGATTTTAAAAGTTTGTGATGGTCCATTGTGAGCAGTTGCACATTTTTAGTCTAAGCTGCTATCGTTTGCACTTAAGAGCTATCAGTTTGCCATTAGGGATACTAGGTTAACCAACTAGGTTATTTTATTTAAAATATGAAGTTTATAAAAATGTAATCCTGCAAAAATGAATAAAGGACTTTATTCAAAAAGGTCCACTATTTGGCTTTGCCATGTTACTGTAACACTGCCTGCATGAGTGCAGTAGTTTCGGAGCTGAAGCTTTAGCATGACCTGAGTTAGTCTGGATGTTTTTGTCCTGTTTTGTCCGCAGTACTGAGGCACTCTCCTGCCCCTCAGCGGCGCTGTCCACCCTCGCCCCTCTCCCCTCCCTCCGGTCCGGCCTCATTCTCCCCCCGCCTGTCCACCCGCCGTCTCCGGGCGTGTTTCCAGGGCCGCCGGAGCTTCTCCGAAATCACCGACCCCTCCTCTGCCCACCAGGGCTGTCCTCGGACCCTCCACAACCCAGCTTCCACTCTCCCCAAACACCGGCCGGCGGGCGACGTCTACCTGAGGCAGCAGGGGGCGCTGTCCATAGGGCCCCGCCCAGCCTCCGCCCACAGTGCGACACGGAGCATCACCTGTGCCTCACCTGTGCGAGATGTGCGTCACCTGCGCGCTCAGGAGCATCTGCCTGACCCCACCCCGCTGGTCACACCGCCGCAGTCTTCAGAGGACGAGGAAGAGGAGTGGCCCAGTACAAGCTCCGCCCACAGTCCCATCCACAGCCCACCTAGGACGCTGGGGGTGGTGCCCACACATCCTCCGTTTCCTGCCCCCGACGGTCCGAGCACGCTGGCCTGCCCCCTGCTGAGCACAGAGCATGCTCAGTCCTGGCCGTCAATCAAAGTAAGTGATTATTTCTCGGCAGCAAAGCAGATATTTTTACTAGTGAAGGTTGTGGTGAAACTATTAAAGTGATAGTTTGGATAAAAAAATCGAATTTGCTAATAAACCCAAATGTAGTCGATCAGCCAAGACATGCTGGTGTCTAAAATTTGCTTTTTTAGTTTTAGCACTGGAGCTATGAGGCTGATGTAGCTAACAAGTAATAGAAGCTTATACCCCACCAGTTAGCATGGGGCTAACTACATGCCTAAATCATCGCACGCTGTGAGTTGTTAAAGGGTCCACATCTCTGAAAACTCAGTCCACACTGTATACGGAAACTGAGCCTCAAAAACAGCTCGTTTTGATTTTGTCATGGTTGTGATGTCACAAGTCTGATTGAATACGTTTGATGTATGGGGGAAAATCGTGCTAATTTGATTCTTTTGCCCAGTTGTCGCTTGAAATGCGATGTTTGGAAAATGATTTTAAATGATTTATCTAAGAAAGGCTGGATAATCCATAAATAATCAATAATTGTTCATGTTCAGTCACCAATTTATGTCGCTGTTCTGTACGTAGGTGACCTACAGTGCTGTGCAAAAGTCAGAGGTTACCCTTCATTTATTTGATTTCCAGTCAAAACAGCCATTAAGTACAAATGATTCATTTTTCAGCATCAGAAAAAAAAACAGAAAGCATATTTAACAGAAAATCACACAGAAGCCTCAACAGCTAAATCTAATCTCAGCTGTCTGATTGTTCAGTGAGTCACTCTGTACCTTTATTCCAGCTTCCATTCTGTTCAGGAGACTCACTTTCAGCTCCTCAAAGAATCTGCAGACACACCTCCAAAGTTCAGTCTTAGAAGCTGGTTGATCATTTTCTGAAGTAATCAAACACATTCAGTGGTGTTGAGGTCTGGACTCTGGGGTGGTCAGTCCGTTGTCCAGCTTCTTTGTTTGATGTGTCCGTCTCCTCTTCTCAGTGAGGTTCTTCTTGACAGCTGCACATCCTTTCAGACCCATAAACTCAGAGATGGTTCTTCAAGGGTTCTTTAGCAAAGACAATGGTTCTATATAGAACCACAAACACTCAAAGAACCCGTTGCATGCTTAAAGCGTTCTTTGCATGGTCAAATGATTCCTCAGATTGATGGATTGTGGTTCTATATAGCACCAAAAAGGTTACGATGTTAAGCTTGTTACAATAGAAGAACCCTTGTTGGTGCTATACAGATCCCTTTTCAAAAAGGTTCTATGTAGAACAATACACAACACATTCTCTATCAATCTGAAGAATGATTTCACGATGCAAAGAATCTTTTAAGCATGCAAATGGTTCTTTGAGTGTTGAGAGTTCTATGTAGAACCACTGTCTTTACCAAAGAACCCTTAAAGAACCATCTTTTTAAGAGTGTAGTGCTGAGTCATCTTCTCACAGTGGAAGGATGGACAGAAACACCTGTGGATGTTTTCAGATCTGAAGCAGCTTGATTTTCTCCTCTCTCTCAGAGATGAAAGCTTTAAGTGCTGTTTATCTGATGGGGGCAGTTTTGGTGTCCACCAGCTCTTCCAGGTGGTTGTTAGGAGCCACATTTTCTCTGTAGCTTTTAATCAGTTTTTTGAGCTCCAGTTTTGGAAACTGATATGTTTTCATTTTAACTTTCTCCTTCCTTATGCGAGTGGATTATCTTATATCTAACCTCCTCACAAATATCTCCTGAAAATGAGTAACTTATACTTATTTCTTCTTCTTCTGCTCTTTTTTTGTCCTTCAGCTGTGGATGGAGTCGGAGGAGAACGATTCTCGAAGCTGCCCGCTCTGCCAGCTGACATTTCCCACTGGATACCCTGACGACGCTCTAATCAAACACATTGATACTCATCTGGAAAACAGCAAAATCTGACCAACTTGTCTTAGTCTTTGGTGATTCATGCACTGTAAGCAAATCCAGAGAGTAAAGCCACGGACAGCATTCTGAACAGGAGAACTTCAACAGAAATGGTCAAAAGTAACTGACCACAGTGTATTTTGAGTAATACTGCCACTGTGCAGATCCTGAGATCTACAAAAAACTCACATAATCCTATATTTGTCCAATAATGATTATTTGGGGATCAATGAATCTGCACAAAACTGTGAAATCTTACGTTTTACATCAACATGGCTTTAGCCTCAATCCCTTATTTCTTAATTTCTCCTTATAGAAAGACTCTACATGCTTATTCATGGAAAAATAATAGATAACTATAGTTTCATATTGTGGTCCAGTGCAGCTGAAATAAGACTGTTCCCCTGTGATAATGACCTCTCGGTTCTTCCAGCTCTTCCACCACAAGAACCTTCAAGTCCTGCCACCATCCAGACCTTTCTAAAGAAGTTTCATTTCATCATGAACGATCTTTGTAGACCCACATTAACGATGAGGACTCTTGTTATGAATAATGTAATATTGCATACTGTAAATTTCTTCACTAGTTTAGCAGGGCGCTTCAGTAAGAGTCGCTAACAGTAGCTAGCGCCACCTAGATGTCCATAGTCTTCTGAGCCTGTTTGGATTAGTTTAAAGGTGCAGTGTGTGAGATTTAGGGGGATCTATTATCAGGAATGGAATATAGTAGCAAAACCATGTTTTATTAGTGTATAATCACCCGTAAGTATGGATTGTTGTGTTTTTGTTAGCTTAGAATGAGCCCTTCATATCTACATAGTGAGCGGCTCCTCTTCAGCATAGGCTGCCGCCACCATGTTTCTATAGTAGCCCAGAGCGTACAAACCAAACACTGCCTCTAGAGGGCGCCTTTCATGCTTTTACGCTGAATTTGGTGGCGCTGTAGCTGTAGGTTGGAAGACGCAGAAAGAAGAAGAATCAGTGGCTCCTGGTGCTGCTGACTGTTTTATGTTGTGAGAAGTTTGAGAACCCAAATTTTGACAAATGGAGGATCAGACTTATTATTTAGCAGAAGAAAAAAGGGAGAGAATGTGAATCCTCACCGTCAGAGAGAGAAAACATGAAGAGAAACAAAATCAGGACAGACGACGGCAGAAAACCTGATGGCCACAGTAGGATCTACAACACGCTTGGAAAGGGAGGAGTGAGGGAGGGGGATTCAGCTGGGTGCAGTCTGCAACCTCACCACTAGATGCCACTAAATCTCACACACTGCACCTTTAATGTTAGAATTTCCAGATGAATTTCAGTGCATGTAGAACTTAAAAAAGTCTATTCTTTACAGTATTTGTAGAAGCTTTTAGAGCTGAGAACTGAATCTGATTTAGAAGAAAAACAGAAAACTTCTTACAGACAAACAAATGAGACAGAAAGATTCTGCAAGACAAAAGAAGCCATACTTTCAGCACTGTATTCTTTTATAATGATGAATGAATGCTGGATCTGGTCTCAGTCCCAACTGTTCCTACCTTTCCCCTGCTGTTAGCATGACAACATTCAAGAGGCCTGCTGCTGTGTTTAGCTATGCTAATGTACTTCAGTCCATGTTTATAGGTAACAGTGAGTCTTACAGGGTCAGAAACCACAGAATCAAGACTATTAGAGACACTGAACACCTCCACACAGTCTGAGGAGAGTGTGTGATTATTTAGTCATGCAGTTAGCACCATGCTAATCAGTGAAGTATTAGCTTCCATTGCTTGTTAGCAACATTAGCCTCGTAGCTCCAGTGCTAAAACTAAAGAAGCAAACAAATGTTAAATAAGACTGGGGTCGTAAACTGTCACAGGACCACCACACTGTAACGGCTGCTTTATGAGGGCATTTTAACGAATGTTATTGTTTGGTCAGTTTACAGAGCAGATTAACTCAGTGAAAAACATCAAAAATCTGCTGAATGCTTAGCCGTGTCTGAAACTGTGCCCTGTTCACTGTATAGAGCACTATTTTGGGGTTCTGACATTTTGTAGTGGAGTCTGAAAACAATGCAGAAGATCCAGTGCACTCAAACAATCCCACAGTGCACCGCAATAAGTAGTGTACAACTGATGTACCCTAGTGGATACAGCAGGGGTCGGCAGCCCAAACGTTAACCCACTTTGTCCTTTCAACAAAAATCAAACAACCTTGGGAGCCACAACATTTAATGTCCTTTTTACCATCTTGGCTGTAAATATGTCTCAGTATGTGCTGATGAACTAGTACAGACTAAAAAATATAATATAAACATAAACACAGACTTACTCTGCTTTAAGCTTTAGCTCAGCTATAGCTGCTTTTCTCGCATCTCCAGCAGGAAACCTTTCCTTGAAAGTGGACCAGTTTCTTGTAAAATGTCTCTAAACTTTTGATTTTTTACGAAGCTGAAGTCGCTTCTCATTCACCAGCTTCTTGTTCAAATTATCCCGTTCCACCCTAAATGGTGCAGCAGTTACTTTCTGCCGCCTCAGGCACCATTTAAGGTGGAACGGGATAATTTGAACAAGAAGCTGGTGAATGAGAAGCGACTTCAGCTCCATGACTTTTTATTGTTTGATAGTTTCTCACTGCAGATTAAACGTATCAGGAAACCAGCTGGAGTGATTATAAACACTAAGTCCATTCGTCTCCAAATTATTGATGTTCATCTTAAATCTCTCTCTTTGCCGTTTCGTTAGCTACTAGCTAGGCGAGACTGTTGTCTGTGTTGCTATGGTGACCAGCAGTCTGTGCTGATCTTCAGGGTTAAAGGGTGAATTAGCAGTTCTACATTAACTCCAGAGTTTAAGACCATTTATTGTTAAACTGTGTTGAACGATCAGCAGAGCTTTATTTTACTGTAAAGGAGGATTATTTTATTTTTACCTACAAATCTGATTCTGCTGTGGAGCCTCAACAGGGCAGTGAAAGAGCCACATGTTGCCGACCCCTGGGATGGGCGTACCCATAAAGCACTACGTTGTTTGGTTTAAAGATGCACGCGCAGATTCTATGAGTACGATTAGTGAGCTGAACTGCAGTGACAGTGTCTCCACCGAGCTCTACAGACCTGATACAGATGTAAGTCAGATCGTCTCGTGTGCAGTCAGACTCACATTTGTAGTGTTTGTCACAGTAATGAGAAACCCGTACGATGTAGCGTCCCAAACAGTTTGCTACCATCACCAACTCTGTTCCCTATAACAGACCCCGTTTACACCTGGTCAGTTCATCCGTCCAGTATCTGGATTATATCCTGATAGGATTTTAGCCACATGCATTTACACTTGGTAGTCAAATGCGTCTCCATTTAGTCGGGCTAAAATTTGATTGCTGTGGGACAGAATATGCAAATCAGCTCATTACGTGGCAACAAATCACCAACTGTTTATCTGTTGAGCCTCTTCGTCTGCAGTGTGTTTTGTATTGTCATGTCTGTCTGTGTTGCTATTTTCATTTCATCTCCAACCATGTGTGTCCTCCATGATCGTCTTCCTCACAGACACGGATCATGAGCCCAGTGACGGACTGCATGGGGAGGAGTTTCAGTTTCACAGGGAGGAGTTTCAGTTGAACAGGGAGGAGTTTCAGTTTCACAGGGAGGAGTTTCAGTTTCACAGGGAGGAGTTTCCGTTGTACAGGGAGGAGTTTCAGTTGTACAGGGAGGAGTTTCAGTTGTACAGGGAGGAGTTTCAGTTGTACAGGGAGGAGTTTCAGTTGTACAGGGAGGAGTTTCAGTTGTACAGGAAGGAGTTTCAGTTGTACAGGGAGGAGTTTGAGTTGTACAGAGAGAAGTTTCAGTTGTACAGGGAGGAGTTTCAGTTGAACAGGGAGGAGTTTCAGTTGTACAGGGAGGAGTTTCAGTTGAACAGGGAGGAGTTTCAGTTGTACAGGGAGGAGTTTCAGTTGTACAGGAAGGAGTTTCAGTTGTACAGGGAGGAGTTTCAGTTGTACAGGGAGGAGTTTCAGTTGTACAGAGAGAAGTTTCAGTTGTACAGGGAGGAGTTTCAGTTGTACAGGAAGGAGTTTCAGTTGTACAGGGAGGAGTTTCAGTTGTACAGGGAGGAGTTTCAGTTTCACAGGGAGGAGTTTCAGTTTCACAGGGAGGAGTTTCAGTTGAACAGGGAGGAGTTTCAGTGTCTTGGAGAGACGGATGCGTTTATGCTTCTACAACATGTGGCTCCAATGCGCCTCAGTCCAGGTTTAACGGATCAGATTTGCATCTGTTTTAAATGCATCTTGGCTGCATTTACACTTGCATTTTTATGTGTCTTGGCTTCCAGATATAATCCTGATACTCAAGACGCGTGAAGTGACCAGGTGTAAACGGGGTCATAGTGTTCTCTATAGTGATCCAGATATTCCAGTGTAGGGTACAGTGATTAGGGACTATTTCAGACACAGCACTTGTTTTTCCTCCACAGATCCAGGCTTTGGGAACCACACATGGTTCTACAGTGACATCGCTCAGCCAAGAACCCTTCTCAGAGTGTAAACTTTCTGGATAGAGATGATGTGTTAATGCGCAAAGGTGCTGATGTTCTGTTCAGTCAGTGCTGAACTGAATCTGTGGAATTTAATTAAAAAATAAAGATTTAAAGAAAAAAATACAGACTAATAACAAATGTGTTGCTTATCAAAAGTTTGGGGACACCTAGCATTGCAAAAGACCTTTAATACAAATGAGGTTGTTTCTTTTGTCGGTTCGTAATAACAAAGTTAAACCACCTGAAGCTGAGTGTCGAAGATAAATATGCTAAGGGTCTTACAGAGCTGCTTTATGATAAAGTTTCATGTGTCTGTTCATAATAAGCACATTTCATCATATCATTCAAATGACTAAATTCTTGTGTTTTCCATAATTTTCAATCAAAATGTGATGACTTTTAACGTCTTCTGGCCAGATCTGTGTGAATGATCTCTGACCGGCGGTAGGCTGAATGGGTGGGCCTAAACCGCTGTAGGCCAAATAGGTAAATATTCATAAATGTACAAATGTACAAACTCCTCCCAGCACAACTGAAACTCCTTTATAAAGTAACACATTCATAATGTGTTCATTCATAACAGAGCAGCTCCAACCCGCGGGGCTCACGGAGGACGATAAGTTAATATCCATGCTGTCGCTGTCAGGAACACGTGGTTTAGTAGGTAACAGTAAATAATAAACAGTTCAATTTATATCAGAAT